GCCGAGCTGAGAGAGAGGACGGAGCGGCTTGAAATGCAGAGCCGCAAATACGACCTTCGTGTGTTCGGATTGTCTGGTGACATTGGAAAAACTAACCTGACTACTTATATGGACAAGCTGTTTAAAGAATTGTTCAGAGGAAAACTTATGCGGGAGCCAGAAGGGGAGATGGCGCACTGGATTGGACCTAGGAGAGACGGAGTAGGAAGAGCGATGGCGGTGCGGCTGCGGAGGCTTACAACAAAGGAGGAGATTATAAAGATGGCCAGAGAAGAACGTGTTTTCCAACTGTGTGGTATGAAGCTGAAGATGTTTCCAGATCTGACCAGTGAAATGGCGGAAAAACGAGCTGGCTTCTGGGAAATAAGGAGTAAGCTGAAGAAGGCTCAGGTGAGACATGGCCTGATTCATCCCGCTACCCTGATTCTGACTTTCAAAGATGAGACAAAAAGGTTCAATGAACCGAGTGAGGCTGAAGCTTACTACAGGACTGTGATTGAACCAGGAAGAAGGATGGAGAATAATAAGGACCAATTAAAAACAGTTTAATGAGTGTGAAGATGGACTGTGAGATTACTGTTTAGGTTATGTGAGGATTATGTTTAATTTTTATAAAGTATTAAATAACATCGCAAGATGGAAATGATAGCCCGCATAATAAGAGTTATATAATTTGGTTATTTATGTGTCTAGAGTTGGCGTGTAAAATGTTTTATTTCATTACAGTGTTTGAGTTTGAGATGAATGACAGTATGAATGTGTTTGGTAAAATTATAAAAATGTTACAGGAAGCTCAGTATGATTTTTGCAGGCAGGAGTTTATTCTAGATTTTGGATGACAGATCATGTTTGGTTGTGGGAAAAGGGGTTTAAAATAGCTCATTTGAATGTGTGCATTTTGAGAAATAAGGTGGCGGATATTCAAGAAATTTAGCAAAGTTATAATTTACATGTGTTAGCAATATCAGAAACACATTTAGATGAAACAATTAATAATGAAGTAGTAGAGGTTAGGGGCTATAATATTTATAGACTAGATAGGAATTTGTAAATCACATACCAGTTAGAGTAAGAACAGATTTCATGGTAACTGAAGTTGAGACACTATGGTTAGAATTGCAGATTCCTCATTTAAAAGCTGTCATTATTGGATGTTGTTACAGACCACCAAATGCTCCTGTATACCACTTGGATCAGATAGGAGGTATGTTGGATAAGGCATGTGATCTGAGAGAAGAAATGTTTTTCCTAGGTGACTTTAATATAGACTGGAAATCAGGAAATTGTCCATTGAGGAATAAATTGTTTTCATTTACCAACATTTGTAATTTATCACAACTCGTGCAGGCTGATACTAGAACTCAGATGAAAAGTAATGGCAAATTTTCCGCAACTTTGATTGACTTAATTTTTACCAATATGGCAAATTTATGTTCTAAAGCAGTTTCGATTCCAGTGGGCTGTAGCGACCACAATTTAATTGCGGTAACAAGGAAAACAAAGATGCCTAAAAAAGGCCAATTATTTGTGTGCAGACGGATGTTTAAATACTTCAATGAAGATGACTTCATAGAAGATGTGAGGAAAATAAGTTGGACACAGGTTTTAAGTGAAGATGATCCATGCCAAGCAGTAGCAGTTTTCAATGAATTGTTCACAAAGGTGTTAGACATGTTCCTATAAGGAAACGTGCTGTGAGAAAGGTATCTGCTCCATGGTTGGATGAAGAATTAAAATAATATATGAGGCAGAGGGATAAACTTAAAAATGAAGCAGTAAAAACTAATAGTCCAGATAAATGGAAAGAGTATCGTAGATTACGAAACTTTGTAACTAAATTAAATAAGCATAAAAAACGGTTGTATTATCAAAAAAGACTAACTGATGCAAAATCGGATAGTGCAAGATTATGGGGTACATTGAATGAAATGATTGGTAGGCATAATAGGTCAGCTCCAACTTTTTTGGATGTAGGGGGAACTTATCTCACTAATCCAACAGAAATAGCTAATTATTTAAACCAGTTTGTAACTAATAAAATTAAGTTGTTGCGAGACTCTATGGAAAATAGTCAAACCAAAAATATTTCCTATCAACTAATTAAACAAAAAATAATGTTAAATAAAAACTGCCAATTTCAATTTGATAAAGTGACTGAAGACAAGGTTAAGGAGATAATATTAAAAAGTAAAAATAAACCATCTGGCATAGATAATATTGATATAAAATGGTTAAAGTTAGTAGTAGATTTTATTTCATGTCCTATTGTTCATATAATGAATGGAAGTTTTAAACAAGGTATTTTCCCATCTCAATGGAAAACAGCAAAAATAATACCTTTAATTAAGAACAATAGAGAACCACTGTCTGGTCAAAACAGTCGACCAATAAGTTTACTACCAGCTTTAAGTAAAATCATGGAAAAAATTGCATATGACCAAATTCAAGATTATTTTGAGGTAAATTAATTGAACACAAAATATCAACATGTTTACAAAACAAATCACTCAACCACTACTGCACTTATTCAAATAACTGATTATTGCTTAGAGAATATCGATAATAATAAGCTAATTGGTTCTATATTTCTTGATTTAAGTGCGGCTTTTGATGTTTTAGATCATGATATTTTACTACAAAAACTTAAACACTATGGATTTCATACATCTGCTCTTAACTGAACTAAAAGTTATCTTACTGACAGAGAATATCAATTTTATTTCAATGGCAGTTTTTCTGAAAAGGGTCTGATGGAATGTGGTGTTCCACAGGGAAGTTGTTTGGAACCTCTTTTGTTTTCTATTTTTTTTAATGATTTTCCGTGGGTGCTGCAACATGCTACTACAGCAGTATATGCAGATGACATTACTGTTTTAGCTTCAGCACATACGGAGAGTGCATTGAATGAAATATTAAATAAAGAGTTAAGAACAGTCGAGCAGTGGATAACTGCTAACAAATTAGTGATTAATGCAGGAAAAACTAAATGCATGGTAGTTGGCTCCAAACATACTTTACAGACGATGCCAAAGTTACATTTAACCCTGAGTAACAACGTAATGGACCTCTTCTGGTCCCCGGTCATGCACTCAACCAGACTGAATGACAGCTCAGAAGAGGCTGAGGCTGCGCTCGGACAACATTTCCAAGTTAAACTAACTCCAAACAAAATGACTCTTTAAATGAAAGTGACCCGTTACTCTACGATTTATTAAATGAATGTTTTATTTATTTCTGACGAGAACATCTCCTCTGTCCCAACCGCATTCATAACCTTTGCGATTCGGCAGCCAGTGTTCCCATCTCGTTGTCAATAATGTTTTTCTTATTTTTGATGAAAAAAGCTCATTTTTGCAACATGGGCTTGAATGGTATTGTTAGAAAATCCTTTTATTTGTGTGGAAATGAACAAATCTTGTTTGCAATCAGTGGCCCACATTTGTGGGAGTATTTAGTAGTATGGTATCTCATATAAAATGCTGATTCTGAAGGAAACTAAAGGTTGTCTGACAAATGTAGCGGGGTGTACTCATTTATGCTGAGCACTGTATAAAGGACCACCTCCCAAATGTTTAATCACAGTTCATTCATTTAGAACAGCACCGGATAGAAGGAAATCTGTTAAAACCAGCTTACTGTCCTCCTTTCTTCTCACAATTAAAAGATGGCTTTTTTTTTGCATTAAAATTGATGTCAAACTCTGACCCATACTGAGAGCAGACCGTCAGTAACTGCTGAAAGCCAGCACTGTATGGGCAGATGATCACCAAATCATCTGTATACATTAAGCGGTTTATTATTGTCCCACCAACCACACATCCAGTTCTGCAGTCATTAAGCCGCTTCGACAGATCGTCCATATAGACATTAAAAAGAAGAGGAGACAGAATACTTCCTTGTCCAACACTGCTTAAAAGGAGAGGACACACAATTACCCCATTTTACATACATGGATTGGTGAGCATACCAAAAGGATAAAATCCTAATTACAGACTTAGGAACACCCTGTCCTGTAATTTATAAAACAAATTTTCATGGTTAACACAATCAAAAGCCTTTGATGTGTCAATAAAATCCATAAAAATAGTGGAACTATGCTCGTTATAAAAATCTAAAAACTCTTTCACAGCAAAAACACACGTCTGTACCATGCTTTGATTTAAACCCAAACTGATTGTCAGTTGTCAGAATAAAATGCTCCATTCTATTTAAAATAACTTTCTCCATGACTTTAGATAAAATACTGGCCAGAGCTATTGGCCGATAATTATCTCTGCTACTGATTTTGCCAGCTTTATCTTTCAAGATTGGCACTAATGTAACAGATAAAATGGAGTCAGGTAAAATGCCATGAATTAAAACCCCTGTAAAACAGATAGCAAGCAGAGGAACGAGTTTTCTACTGGCATGTTTTAGGTGTTCTGCAGAGATATTACATTAAATAGCTTGATTGGTATTTTGGAGTTGCATGGAGGGTAAATGGGTTAAGCAGCGACACCTGGTGGCCACCTAGATGTCATTTTTTTTATTCATTTTATGTCAAATGTATTATTGAGAGAGTCAAAGTTTACAGCACTTAGACCGCCTTCCTTATCTTCACTTAAGGCTGTTTGCAAGTTGGAATACATCTGTCCTCATCTGTTTAAACGTGTATTGTTTAATTTAACGCCGATTATGAGATTTAGACCTAATTCTCATTCTTCGAGAGGAGAAACACGCCTGCACACAGCTGGGTAACATTTGGCAGTTTTATATAAAATAAATATGTAATTTACTCAGCTTCAATAAGATAACCTCAATGCTAAAGAGCAACAGATATAAATGCAACAAGATTTCTAATAAATTCAATTTTTATGTTTTTTTTTTTTTTGATAATTTTTTAAGAAACAGAAAAAACTAGTTAGCTAAACAGGACAGAATGGTTATTTACCCCAAAACAGCAGGCACCTGAAATAGCCAATCAGAGGCGAGAAAGGCGGGGCCTTGATTGGACATCCTAGGATTCCAAATTCCACCGTCAGGTGTCGCTGCTAAACCTCTCCGGTTCCACTGCTAACTTGCTGCTAACAAAAGCTAGCCAGCGCTAGCTCCACCTGTCCGTTTACCTGTTAAGACCTGACCAGATGCGTCTGTTGCATCGAGATCAAACTACTGAAGCCATTTCCTTCCGTCCGAGTCCAGGAAGCCGCTCCTCAGAAGACGTGAGTTGTTTTCATGGCTACACGCGCGCGACCGTAAGGGTTAGCTCACCTCCATGTTTGTTTCCGTTTCCTGGCAGGGACCAGAGCTATGAGCACCCAGGTAAGCTGCTGCAGGCGGAGGCAGGTGTGTGTCGGTGTTTGATCAGACACTAACGGACCTGTGTTCCATTTCAGTACAGCATCCTGTTCAAACAGGAGCACGGTGAGTAGCCTCCGCTAGCTGTAGCATCCCTCCTCGGGGAGAAGAGCATGCTTACTGGGTCCCAGCTGGAACAGTTAGGGACTCGGATCTACACGAGTCCAGGTCAGGGCTGGTATCCAGCAGGTGTCACCCAGCTTCAGCTCACCTGAGTTCAGTCAGCAGGTGCTGAACAGGTGTGTTGGAGCGGAGAAACCACTGAAACATGCTGGATACCGGGTCTGAATAGCCCTGATCTCCATCGTTGTTCTGGTTCTGTTGCACCTGAAGTAAGTCCATCTGAGGCTCGGTTCTTTTCTGCTCAGTCCCATGGCCCATGGGTGATTGACATCTGTGGATTCTGATGATGGCTCGTTTGTGGTTGTAGCACTAGCACCAGAGTGTTGACCTCTTAGATGGAGAAGCGTGTTGGTGTTAGTTAAAATCCCTCCTGAAGGTGCTGAACCTGACCGGGTTTCTCTGGCCTTCCTTCACCTTGTTTTGTCTGCAGCCCATGATGATGCCATCTGGACGGCAGCGTGGGGGAAAAGTGAGGCGGACGGCTCAGAGACCATCATCACCGGTTCACTAGATGACATGGTGAAAGTCTGGAAGTGGTGTGTGTGTGACTTTAACACCTTTGCTTGATGACTGCAGTAATTTAGTCAGGGTTAATTTCCTTACACTTGATATTCTTACAAAATAAAAGCACCCAGAGTGTAATGTCTTCTTTACTTTAGGACTTTTGCTTCTGCAGGTCTGATGAGAAGCTGGAGTTGCAGTGGACTCTGGAGGGCCACCAGCTGGGTGTGGTGTCAGTGGACATCAGTCAGAATGGAGCCATCGCTGCCTCCAGCTCCCTCGATGCACACATCCGTCTCTGGGACCTGGAATCTGGAAAACAGGTCAAGTCTATGGATGCAGGACCAGGTAAGAAGGTCTTTGGGACCAAACTCCCCAAACAGATTTCCATCGACTGTCTAATCGTCCTTCTGCTGGCCTCCCTAGTTGATGCGTGGACCGTGGCCTTCTCTCCAGACTCTAAACACATCGCCACGGGAAGCCACCACGGCAAAGTCAACATCTTTGGAGTGGAAAGTGGCAAGAAGGAATACTCTCTGGACACTCGAGGGAAATTCATCCTGAGTATCGCTTATGTGAGAGTAGTTTGAGCCTGAGCGAAACGTTCCTCTTTAACTCGGCCTTTAAGTATTCCTGTCATTCAATCATCCTGCTGCTGCCGTTTTGCTCCGCAGAGTCCGGACGGGAAGTACTTGGCCAGCGGGGCTATCGATGGAATCATCAATATCTTTGACATTGCCACGGGGAAGCTGCTCCACACGCTGGAAGGTAATGACTCTCACTTCCCTCTAATGACCGTAGGGGAGCTGTGACAAGCAGAAAGGTCATGCGGGGTCACCTCAGGGCTCAGGCCATGGCGGCGACCACACCCTCATGTAGCAGTAAGGTATGGTTTGTGCACGTTTACAGGAAAACATGTCACGAGTATGTTAGAGCTGGACACGTATGAGCACACAGACGTGTTTCTAAAAGCTGTTCTTGTTCAGGTCACGCCATGCCCATCAGGTCCCTCACCTTCTCTCCCGACTCCCAGCTGCTGGCCACTGCGTCGGATGATGGATACATCAAAATATACGACGTGTGAGTATCCAGATGGTGCCGCTAGAGAAGTTAGCCATTAAATGTTTTGGTACAGGGTAGGGTTGTCACGGTATGAAAATGTAACCTCACGGTTATTGTGGCCAAAATTATCACGGTTTTCGGTATTATCGCGGTATTTTTTAAACGGTGTTGCATATGTTCAGAAAGCATTGATAGTCCTGTTCTACACAAACTGAAATAGTTCTGAAAAGGTTTAACAGTGTTTATTAAACCTAAAATAACACAAAGCCTTAGCAAAAGTGCAACTTTTCACAAGTAAAGGAACAAATAGCTTATTTTTCTGGAACATGTTACAGTAGTCAGTGCAGGTTTAAATTATACAAATCCAAACATTCAAAACATAAACAATATGTAAACAAATCAAAGAAACACCACTTGTTTTCTCATATACTTGTTTTCTTCATTATCAAAATGAAAATCTAAAACTCCAGTCCACACTTGACTTGAGCGCTGTACAAGTCAACCTTAAAAAATATGTATTTAAAATAAATAGCCACTTTAAACAAATTACTAAAATAACTACTACACTATGTAATCAAATCCAAATGTTCAAGTATAAATGGCATTGAATAAGTAAACAAATCAATGACAAGGAACTAATTGTATATTTCTCTTCATCATCAACAAATAAGATGCTTCATCCAGCAACAGGGTGTCCGTGACACGGTTTAAATGCTGCCAGAGGACGCTGCGGCTGCAGTATATAGTGACTCGTTGCGTTCTCCCTCAATCAAAAGTCCTCACGTCATGCATTTAAGCTAAAATGCTAATGTTAACTTACCTTGCACTGGCTGTAGAGACGTGGGTGATGGTCACTCAGATGTGCCATTCGATTCGAAGTGTTGCTGCCTTTTGCAGACACTTGTTTCCTGCACGTTCTGCAAACGGGATAGCCGTCTTCTATTAACTGTCCCTCAGCATTTTTCAGAAATCCAAAATATGCCCATACTTCCGATTTAGTCTTCTTTGAGGGCTGATGGATGTCCTGGGCGCTGCCGTCGCCTCCTTCGGCCATTATTTCAGCTTCAAAGTTTTGGTGCCGTTGCAAACTAAAAAGTGCGTGTGCGCGCCGCGGGAACTTCAGCTGAAGCGACGGTGGCTGGTAAGGGTCATCGCACCGAAACCGCGGCCACGGTTAACCCACCGAGATAATTTAGTTTTTTAAAAACTGGACGGTTATTTTTATTGTCAACTTTTTTACCGGGGTTTACCGCTATACCAGTTACCGTGACAACCCTAGTACAGGGAAGAACACAGCGCTCCTGGCAGAGGACTGCTGCTGGACTGCCTCTTGACCTCTGACATTAACCTTGTTGGACTTTTACAGTGCTACAAGAGTTCAAACCAAAATGTGCTGACCCTGGCCCTCCAGGCGCAGAGCTGAATAGGCTCGATCTACTATCTCAGTTGTCTTTACTCTAGACAGTACATGACACTAGACAACATTTCAGTTAGAAGCTGCTGATGGTCGTGCTAGAGTAGCTGCAGGCTAGTGCTATAAGATCCTAATGGTCTTCACTGTCAGAATGATGGCAGCTCGTTCAGACAAGGACATGGTCCTAACCAGGACGAGGTCCTTAAAGAGCATCTTTAATGTTCTTTAAATGGTAGACAAAGATCATCAAAGGTCAAAACGTTACTCTGGCTGCCCCTCCAGGTATTCAGATAACTAGCAGGTGTTTAAAAATACTAAATCAAGGGAAGTGGGCGGGCTTCCCTAAAACACAGTTTTGGAGTCATGTGACTTGTTATGTACATCAAGGAAAACAGAGAGGAAGAGGAGCTTGACTGTTTATTTTTAGTTGCTGAGGTAACACTGATTCAACTAGCTCAACGATGTTTGTGCACGTTGGAGTTGTACAAACTCCTGTTTGTCTGGACATCGTGTTCATCCATTCCCACAACAGAAAATGAATATGAGAAGCAAAGAGATCATATAAACGTAGAGGCGACATGGGCCAGGGTTTCTATTGGTGCTAGTTTAACTGCGGGTCGCCATCTTGGATGGGTCACCAGTCGCCCCCAGTCATTGGACTAGAAAAGTCAATAGTAATTAGGGATGAGCGAGTACACCACTATCTGTATCTGTACTGGGAGTGGGCGTCGGCGTGGCCTAACCCGGAAGTGGGTGTGGTTTACATCAATGCATTATTTTAAGTCTTAAATTGATATGGATTGATCAGAAGTTACTGTGTGTTATTGTTTATTTGAAAACTATTTACAGAGCAGCCTCAGAACTGAGATTAAATATTTTTGATCACAGTAGTAAAGGAACTGTTACAGAACAAGTTTTTCAATAAAATCAGAACATTAATATTTAAGTGCATGGATTAAAGCAGCTTTCCGGAGTTTTCCTCTTTCAGAAGTTATGTATGATTTGTCAGAAATCCGTAAAAGTGATTATCATGTACTGTGATATAATATAAGCAATACGTCTTTTTTTTTTTTTTGCTAAGCACGCCCCCTGCCCCGCAGAGCTCCATGCAATAGGAAACTGAGCACCGACCAGAACTAACCAATAGCGTTAGACTACTGCTTACATGCTTCAAATTTAAGGAATACCTTGGCTGATGCAGAGTTGATGAACTTTTCACGGACAAGTAAGTCTCTAAAATGTAAATATATGAAAACACAACATGTCATGAGAATAATACTTGTAAAACAACGTGCATTAGCTCTGTTTGTCCGCTACAGAAGCACATTTATAAACTCAAACGTGAAGTCGACATCTTAAAAAAAACAGAGGAACAGCATTTTTGTGTGATACCCTTGTCAGCCACTAGATGGTGGCATCGGATAAGAGAAATACTCCGGAAAGAAGCTTTAATACTTCTGAACTCATGCAGTAGGAACTTGGAAATATGAAATACTAGAACCAGACACAACTTTTTTTATTTTAATTTGATTATTTAAATTAAAATGTTATTCAGTCTCAGCTGAAGTACCCTCTGTATCACTCATTTTATAAGAGAGAGAGCGACACAGAGAGAGAAAACCAGAGTGACCGACGCAGCATGAGCCGTGTTCAGCTCTGTCTTGTCAAATGTACCAAGTACGTTACAAAAAAAGTAACTTTAAATATTCAACCGAAAAAGAGGTGAGCTGAGGAAAACTTAGGGAGTACTGAAGAAACGTGAGCAACAGTGAAGCAAGCACAGAAAGATCCTATACTGTCTGTGTGTGTGCGTGGCTGGGCTGGACTGAGCTCCCGGCTGCAGAGTTTTGTATGTAGGGAGGGGCGGGCGCTCTATGTGACTGGCCAATCACAGAGCGTGGACAGTCAGTTACCCAGTGAGGATTTTCCTTCAGCACGATTACAGATATTTACGAGTTTTACTCGTTTCATGCTCGTATTCGTCAAAAATGCTTTATCCGTACCGGATACTCGTTTGGCTCATCCCTAGTAGTAATCCCACATAACCTGTTTTAAATAGTACGCTGGTTGTTGGAACTGTAGACCACATAAAAACAGGCACAGTTGCTCACTCAGCATCAACTCCGATTAGGTTTTGGGGTGAGGGACCCATCCAATATGGCGGCAAAGTGATTACACTCCAGTGCTCCATAGGGAGCATCAGTCTCCTCCCTCTCTGGTCGGCTCACGGGTCCCCGGTAAAACGAAAAAATGAATGCAAGTCAACAGGGCTAAACTATTTTCTAACCCGCTTTGCCTTACGCCCTGGATCACACACATGTTGTACTGCAGTTTAAATGAAAAGTAATGATGGTGTTTCAACGACGCCAGTCACGTACTTTGAGAATTATTAGCTTGTAAAAGTTCATAATTAGCATGACTACAAACCAGACATCGGCACGTCGCATATGTGACGTCACCACATAAGCTTCTCCCCTTAGCGTAGCTGCTACTTACCACATGATCAGATTTATGGTGGTTCTTTCCTCCTGTGGGAAGTTTGCTGAACTTACAGCCATTTTCCCTCAGTTTTCTCCGTGTCTGGGTTGATGACGTCACTTTTGTGAAGCGCATTTATAGTCCTGGACTACTTTTCACACAAAACCGTTCAAAAATAAGCACATTCTTGGTATCGAAATGCACCTTTAAAATTCTCAGACATCATATGTGAACTCCAGGGCACAAAACAAGCGGGATTAGAAAATAGCGTTTTTAGGCCCGTTGACTTGCATTCGTTTTTTTGTTCTTCCGGGGACCCGTGGTCCGGAAGTAGGTGGGTGTGCCTTAGGCTCCCTATGTCGCCTCTACGTATTTCGTTTTCTTTTCATCTTGTTCCCAGCTCTTGTTGCAACTAGCTGTTCATTTCATAAAAATAGTACATTTGTACTAAGTGCATAACTCCTCAAGGACCTACACACAGTAAACATTACAATACAGGTCAGGTCATTAAGCCAATCAGTTGAAAGTTTCCTATACAACCCTGCTGGGTTCCTACCCAGCAGGTTGCATCGAGTCACTGACGAGTGTCAGAGTGTTTACAGCAATTCTCATACTAAGCAAGCATGCAGCGACAGTGGAAGGGAAAACTCCCTTTTAACAGGAAGAAACCTCCAGAGGATCCTGGCTCAGTATAAGCAGCCATCCTCCACGACTCACTGGGGATGGAGAAGACAGAGCAGACACACTCACACACATACCATATACCAAGTAGTGTTTCTATGGTTACATTGGGATTTCTTAGTAAATATTCTATTTGGTGAGAGATAAACTTTATTGTATTTATCCTAGTGAATTTATAATTAAACGGATAAACTAGTAGTAGCACATTCAATGTCAAAGAGAGTAAAATGTTATTATCAGGAGAGGGAGAATGTTTAAGTGGTTAGCAGCAGTGTGCTAGACGATGGCCCCCTCCATGAGGCTACCACAGCTCAGCAGAACATCAGTGTAGCTTCTTCTGGGGAGAAAAACACTTAGAGAAAAAATTGCTGAAATTGCAGGAAATAATAAAGTTAAAGAGCAAATTGTAAAAGAAAGTAGTCGAGTGTGGCAAGTGGTCAGTGTGTCCTCCAGCAGTCTAAGCCTATAGCAGCATAACTACAGAGATAACTCTGGATAACCTAGCCTTTTAGATGGGCCCGCGCAGCAGACAGAAGCCGCGATCAGACAGAGATGCGCCAAGCTGCGGGGAGGGGAGAAACGGGTGGAAAACAGAGGTCTCCCAGAGCTCCACAAGCCGGCAGCCCGCGCAGCAGACAGAAGCCGCGATCAGACAGAGATGCGCCAAGCTGCGGGGAGGGGAGAAACGGGTGGAAAACAGAGGTCTCCCGAGAGCTCCACAAGCCGATAGTCGGAACCCAGCTCCACCAACATGTTATATTTCAACCCATTTTCTAAAGTGTGGCATTATGTTAAATGCACTGGGTTTTACCCTATTACATTTAAATGTCATGGTTAAACAGTACATGTTAAAATCTAAGCTCAGCTCGGCAGTGACCTAAAATACATGAATATAATTTTACTTACCGAAAAAAATGAAGTGGAGACTCCTTGGACGCTCCATTAGTGCAATTAATGCCACAGCAAGTCATTTTGTCCAACAATTGCACAAAAAATATCCAAAAAAGAATACACAAACACAGACTCAAAATGCCGGAACAGTTTCCAAGCCAGACCGAGGCTCTACTGAGGCCTTTCCACGGAGCTAGCTCTGTTGGTGTTAGCAGCTAACAACAGCTAAACTTACTGAGGCGACTCTTTTTTTCTCTGTCATGCCGTGCTTCCTCTGAAGATGCCCATGCATCACCCATGCGCTCCTGTGAAAGGAGAGTTTCACTTTGCAGAGTTTGCACCCTACGGGCCTTTTATCTTTGTATAATGCTCCCAAACTTTTCAGCAACGTTGCGACTCGCCACTTTCTCCGGTGATGAAGGCTGAGCTGGAAGGCCACCACTGCGCATGCACCTAGGAGCTAAAGCGGCAGCTGAGCAGAAAGGCAGAACGCGAATGCAGAACATCTGCAGCAGGCGAGATTAAAACATTTTTTAATAAAATTAGGTCGATTTTATTTGTCTGCGTCATCATGATGAGTCGCCTAATCGTGGCAGCCCTAGCCATCTTGCTGCGGCTGCCTCATGCTCTGTTTTGGCTTGAGAGGGGAGGGCCTGGTGACGTAGTGTTGAGTCTGTGGCTTTGATTGGTTTGGAGTATGTAGTGAGTCTAGGATGCTGCTACCTGATAGGTTATAATGAAAAAAGGAAACTTTTTTAATAGAAATTTAATCGACCTGTTTTTTCATCTATCGCACCACATGTCTATTGAATTATCGTCCAGCCCTAGTTTGGACACACCTTCTCACTCAATGTGTTGCCTTTATCTTCGTGACCATTTACACTGCGAGATTCTCACTGAAGGCATCAAAACTATGAATGAATACACGAGGAGTTATGTACTTAACCTAAAAAAGGTGAAATACCTGAAAACGTGTTTTATATTCTGTTTTCTTCTAAATAGCCACCCTTTGCTCTGATTACTGGTTTACACACTCTTGGTATTCTCCTGATGAACTTCAACACCTGAAATGGGTTTCACGGTCGGGGTTTGGTGGGGCTGGATGGTGTAAGTTCAGTCTACAACAGGTGGTGTGGTGTTCACATATAAATCTGAGGGACTTCTCAGGAATGCAGAAATTCCCAAGCCTGTGGGCGGGGCTTAATATGCACAGGAAAGTCCACTCCATAAGGTAAACAAAGGCGGACATGAGCTGTGTTGCTTTTGGAGATTCTGAACCACATTATTGTTTTGATTATTTAGACGGGTGAGCTAGGACAGCCTAGTTGAAAGAGTAATGGCACTTTTATTTTCAAATGAAACTATAAAGTTTAGACCTGCTACAACATGAGAGCTTCACTGTGTGTTTAACATGGAAGACAGTTTAACAGGACGTGGTCCTAGCCAGGATGGGTTCTGAAGCCTTCTGCTGCCTGTGTTTGATAGGCAACATGCCAGCCTGGCTGGCACGCTGAGCGGCCATGGGTCCTGGGTTCTGAATGTGGCCTTCTCACCAGACAACACACACTTTGTCTCCAGGTAAGGCCCACCTGCTGCAGCTATAATGTTATTATGGGATGTGTTAAGACAGTCTCTTCGGTTTGTCCTCCAGCTCATCTGATAAGAGCGTGAAGGTTTGGGACGCCAGCACCAGAACTTGTATCAACACCTTCTTCGACCATCAAGACCAGGTGAGTCTACTCACTGGTGTGTCCTGGTTCCAGCTGTGTGTGTGAGCTGTAGCTTACCAAACAGCCAAGCATTTCACCAAATGACCAGAAGTTAACTTTGAAGAAGTTTGACCTGTAAGTTAAGACAGGTCGCTCTGACACAGTGGTGCCGATATGAGTTGTATGAACTTGAGCCGATATTCTAAAGTAATCCTGCGTACGTCACGAGTCCTCAAGGCTGCTAGATGCAGGACTTCTCATCTGTCCGCTCTGAATAAAGTCTATGTTCCCCGACATAAATGACTTAAAACTTCATGTAATTGTATTTTGTTGTATGAACAATGTGTTTACATCCAAAGTGCTTTAATAACGAGTCCTATACTTTACATTAGTGAATGATGGGTTGATGATGGGAATATTTTTCCTGTAATCATTTATTTCTGATATGAAATTTCACCACATTAGTGTTTGTTTAATCTATCAGTATATTCACAGCTCATAATAGTGTTATTAAGGGTTAAAACACTTTTACTTTGTAGTGGAACACATTTGTTAATTATTATCAATAAGATGTGATATTCTATATAAATATGGAATATCAACCTGATTGATCTTTGAATGTTTAATCGGAAGATTCTAGGGTTCTTTGCTTCTTCAGGGACCATAAACACACTTCGTATTAATTCAGACAGAGTCAGTATATAGTTTATAAAATAAATTTAATTATTTTTCCTAAACTAATAATTTATACATGACAAGATATGAACAATGAGATGTGGTGTGGTGGATGTGAGGTGTCGTGATGGAAGCTAGATGTTGTAGCAACCGTTCTTTGTGTCTGAGAGAAAAGTCTGGCTGTAAAGTAATTTGTTGTTATAAACTAGTAGGGTTGGGCATCGTTTGATTTTGAACGATTCTGATTCCTCGTTTCGATTCCAGTTCCTATCGATTCCCGATTCCGATTCTTTCAAGACATGACATGTTTTACATGAGCTAGCTAACCACAGGTCCTAGTTGATGAAATAATCTTAACTCCAACATGAATTTTAATTCTATGAACAACAACATCACCTTCATTCAGACAAAAACACGTTTTGGAGAAAAAAGAAAAAGACTTGCAGCACAACCAGTGTGTTTGTTTCTGACCACAACCAAAGTCTGGAAGAAGCCTCTGGGATGAGAGGCTAAAAGTCTCCAACACATCCAGAAACGTCCAGCTGTTTTCAGCTAAAACTCTCAGGATGATCATGTCCAGGATGACTGAGGACTACACCTCCATGCTGCAGCAGCGTTCAGTCAGAACAGGAAGTGAAGTTTAAATGTAGCTGCTGTCAGTAACAATCTAACAGATTTTAAACATTATAACTCTCAACAGAAATAGTTCAGAAAGGAAATTAAAATGTTCACAGCGTTGTGTGTGATTTATTATTATTATTTATTTATTGTGGCAGAAGCTGGTGTGGTCCTACAAGGTCCTACACTCCCAGTGTAAAAGCCAGAGTGTCTTGTCTGGATGCTTTGTCTATTTGTATATAAACAAGCACTGAGCAGAACCTTCTGGGTTTGGAGGCCAACTAGAAAGTGGATTTATTTCTGTAGATGAAAGGTTATTATGTTATATATGTGAAAATTGATCATTTACCATTTAAATAATATGTTGCAACAATCAAAGATGCTACAGCGTGCGGCCATTGTTGGAGAAATGGATGTGTCATAACAAACACACACACACATTCAGTCAGATCTACGTTTGCAGACCCTCATGAGGATATGGATCTGCAGAACCAGAATCTCTATAGGGCTGTTTGCTGCTTAGCTCTTACTTTAGTTTCTTCTCCAGCGGTTTATTTATTTATTTATTTTTCTGGTTAGCCTGTGCTACTAACGCTAACCACATGGGTCAGACGTGGAGAAGACCCACATAGCTTCCTACCTAACCTGTGTTTTCTACACATAGCGCCTTACAGACTTTACCATCTCTATTGTCTTCAGGTCTGGAGTGTAAAGTACAACAGCAACGGCTCAAAGGTTGTCTCGGCCGGTGACGACCGCGCCATCCACATCTACGACTGTCCGCTGTGACGAGCAGCAGAGCTCACCGGCACAAGTGGATCACGGCTGGCTTTGATCTTTGTGCCTCTGATGGATTTTTGTGCAACAATCTAATAAAACAGCTGTTTTTGGTTCTTTGTTCACCTCCTCTTTTGAGTTGACAAGCAGATATCATCTCTGTTAGTTGGTCCGGTCCTTTTTACCGGAGGAGACGATAGTGTTGGCAAAGTCTGTTTTTAAAACAAACTAGTTCATTTTTTAGTTAAAGAGCAAGTCACCCCCAAATCAACTTTTGCTGATAAATGTGTGTGTGTGTGGGGGGGGGGGTGGCATCCATCACTGCCTCAGTGCTGCTCTCTTGATCCGCCAGGCCATGCCTCTTTCAGAAGCGTTTTCCTAACAGGAAGTGTAGATGAAATAAGTCTCCACCCATGCATTGACCCTCACTTTAAATCTGCCATCGGTATTGGCTAAGAGGTACCCTATGATGTCCACAGGCCCACAAGGACATTGTGACATGTTCAGGTCCGACGTGTTGCTACCATGACTCGATTGGTTTTCTCTGTGAGGAAGTCGTAGTCTGAGATGGAGCTGAATGCATTGTTGGTTCTTTTTTAAAACACAGAAAATGTTTCTTTTTACCTTGCTGACAGTTTTGTTCGCAGCTGCAATCTTCCTCAGAGCTGACACTGATGGTGGCGTCATCATGTTCGTCCTTCTGTGACGGCGTTGGCGCTACAGCATCTTCCGCCGCATCTTCCACCACGTCTTCGGGCCGTGTCTCCTCGGGGTCTGGCTTGGGCCCGACCTCTGGCTCTGCTGACTCGAGCAGGTTCACAGCTGTCGGACGGCTGCCCAAGCAGCCCGACAGAAACTTCTGTAAAGCCCCCCGCTGTTTCTTCTTTTGTTCCTCTTCATTTATTTATTTATTTTACGTTTTGCCGCACCCGAAAGCATCGTGAAAGTTAGCCTACTCAAAAACACCTGCTAGCTTTGTTGTGTCCCGCTCTGACTGACCGCTTCTCTGACATCCTTAATTGGGTGGCGCCCAAGTTGTAGGCTACAGTCATGGGCTGGGATTAATGTGACGTAGCTAATGTAACGTCTATGGTTAAGATAAACAGTGTCACTATTTTTAGTTAATAAGTATTGAAATAAATTGTAGATAGGAGTCCTATCATAGGACATTTGTACATTTTATTTTTATTTTTAATTTTGTCCTGTCTGGGCTCCATCCAGCCAATCAGGCCCTAGGCACGTGCCTACTTTGCCTTTGCGTTAATCCGGCTCTGTTTTTGCGTGATTCTATTCTTTCTCCATCAAAATAAACGGTCAAATACGGGAACTATCCGGTCAACACAAGCCCTGCTTTTAACTGTTTTGTTTTCTTGTGAAAATTGTTGCAAAGAGAAAATTAAACTTGAGTAACACTAGAGCCAGGCGCACTGCACCGTTATCTCCGTCACTGTAAATGAGGATCCTTTTCTGACCTTCCCCACCTACAAAGTTTAATTACAACAATCAAACGAGACAGAGCCTGAATTTGTATTCTGAACAGTTTAAACATGTTTTAAAATGAAACGTGTGACAAAAGTGGCACCTGCTCAGTAAAACCACCAACAGGGTGAAAAATATCTAAATATTGTAGGCAGAGACGGGCTACAACTTCTGGATCCATTTTATACAAATCATTTTATTGATTATTGTAACGTCCCGTCAGACACAATAACAGTCGGAGATGCTCACTTATGCTTTAGTCTTTTTAATGACTCCAAAAGAGTTGCTGCTGGCCGCAACCACGCCGAACACAGAGCCCAAACGAACAGAGAGGGAGCAAGACCAAATTAAATCTGCAAGCATCGTCGTTCGGCCCTCGCAGCAAAGCTGCTCGCCCTCCATCCGCACCCCCTCCGCTCCATCCCTGATGCTCTCCAAGCCCAGCTCCACGCCGCTCCGTCCTGGCCGGCAGCCCGGGGTACCAGGGCACGTCCGGAACAGAAACGTCGACCACCCCGACACCAGAAACCGCTAATGGTCACCTCGTCCGCACCTCACCCTGACTCAGCATCCCCTCTGAGCCCACCATTATATTACACGTCTCACCACTAGGGTATACTATTATCTTTACCACACTGGTGGTGTGATGACACCAACTTCAATGATTTTCTGACCACGTTTTGTGAAGTTATTGTAGGTTAAAGTTATCTAGGGGGCGCTGTGACCAACCACAGAAAAATCCCATTGAGGTCCGCTTTGGTTGATAAAGATGGTTTTCTGTTATTTTGGCATCAATCAGACGTGTGTTCTTTCTAGAGCCAGTGAGCTGAAAAGGGCGGAGCTACAGGTATTTGAACCAACAACCACATCAATGGGTTTGGTGCAGTCACGTGATGTCACAAGCCAAGTATAATGCCATTCTGACCTTGTCTTTAGAAGTTAATAAAGTTTGAACCCATCTAGGGGGCGCTGTGACCATTTACAACTAAATCCCATAGAGGTCATCTTTGGTCATCAAAGATGGTTTTCTGTTAATTTGGCATCAATCAAACGTTGCATGGGTCATCTAGAGACAAGAAGCTGTAAGTGGGCGGAGTTTAAGTGAATTGAACAAGTGTGCACATACATGTGTTGATTGCAGTTGTGTGATGACTCCCACCAAGTTTGATATAGTTTGGAGCTTTTTTGCAGAAGTTACAAAGGTTTTTTGTATCTAGGGGGCGCTGTCCCAAATTTAGGAAATATTCCATGAAGAAATTTTTAGGTTGATAAGTCATTTGTGTGCAGTTTGGTGTGAATTGCATCATGCATGTGTTATTCAGGGCCTAATATCTGTCAGGGGGCGGAGCTAAAGCAATATGAACCAATTACCACAGGATTGTGTTGGGTGCCTTTGTGTGATGACACATAGCAAGTTTGGTGCAGTTACGACCTTGTCTGTAGGAGTTATTACAGATTTAATGGTATGTAGGGGGCGCTGTGGTGATATTATACAACGTTCACCAACCGTTTGTACCTCGTTGGGTAAAGGGCATGATTGTTGATTGCCATGTTCAGTCTCGGGCAGATCGGAGGCCGTTTGTGGAAGTTACAGTCAAACGTAAGGTCACGGCGTCACGCCAGAATTCGCCATGGCATCAAAGCCCCTCCCTTTCTGGAAAGCTATCAGAACTGAATGGTCATTACAGCATCATGAAGACAGGGCATGACCTTAGTGTCATGTTGACTAAATTAGAGGGGACAAATATAGGCATTTCACCATAAAACAATAGACTTCCTGTGGTCAGGGGGCGGGGCTTAGGTGATGTCAGCTGTCCACATTGTCATTGTTTTGAGAAATATAAACTAAAACAGCTGGGAAGAGAGCGAGGTAGAGCAGCCATAACGACCGAAGCATAGAAAATATTTAGTTCCTTCATCCCAAGAAATCTCACTCTGAACTTTTATTTTAACTTGAGAGCTCTGTCCAATAAGGTCCAGAGCTCCAGAGATGTGGAGCCTCTAAAGAATATTACTGATGCTGAATTAAGCACGTGATCAACGTGTGTGTGTGTGTGTGTGTGTGTGTGTGTGTGTGTGTTGACGATTTTTACATTGAATCAGTATAACCATTTTTAATTTTAATCACTATAATCTTGTTCTGTTTATTTCAATTAATCATCTTCAATCTTTCAGTTAAAGTGTGTTGCTCAATCATTTACTCTTCATACATAAGGTGGAAGTATTATTCAGAAGGACCATTTTACAAAGGATCTATATTGCTTACTGGCTTTGCTAATGATGCTTTACAGGAAGTGTGACTTTGCACAAGTGTTGTAGAACAGCAGAAACAGTTCTCCAGACAGCAAGAGTCCATTAGGTTGCTATTGGAACGAGTAAAACAACGTATATCTGAAGTACGTGTAAATGACAAGCAGAAGATAGATTCAATTTGCAACTGAAATGTTCCAATACAGATTTTGGAAAATGTCCTTATTTGGTGAAAACTGAACTGCTGACTTCTGTTGCTGGGCAAAAGGTCACAAGCAGCTCCGTCTTGACTGTCGTTGGGCAGGGCAGATGAAGTCAAAATGGGCTTTGGACTGTGAACTCACAGAAGGAATGCCCTCCTTTGAGTGGAGAATGACATTTGATGTTTGAGTCCGCTGACGGGACTGCCCTGTGTGTGTGTGTGCGTGTGTGTGTGTGTGTGTGTGTGTGTGTAACTTTGACAATGAAAGGCTATGGAGGTCTCTTTCCAGGGTCACCTGAAAAGAACAGTGAGAGGAGTTTACCAGAAGGTAAAGAGGAATCTCACAGCAACAGTGTGTTGGGGGTTTGGAGAGAGAAAGGAGAAACTAAACTATTCAAGGTTTCTCAGTAAGCTCCCACTCAGGCCTTATGTAACATTGATCAATGCATCTGTTAACGAAAAGACTTTAATAACAGTATTTGCAATACATATAAATGATTTGATATTTTGCACCCCTACACATGTTCTGTCTTCAATGTTGTATACATTTTGTGATTTTGTTTGTTTGTTTGCTCAATAAAGTTCTGGGAAAGAAGTCCCCACTGAACCCTTGTGTAAGGGTTGCAGACCGGTGTGGCGCGGCCGAGGCCTGTAATCCATCAAATGGGCCAAAGTTACCTTTCTGTCTACCAGGACACAGGTTGTGCCGACCTTACACCAGCAGGTGGATATCTCTTAACTTGTCCAGTGCCCTTGTCTTCAAGACTTTTACCTAACCCCATTTAATCAAAGATATTTGTCTCCTAAAATGATTCATTCCTTCACAGCTTAAGAACAATTACATTAAACAATGAATGTTTCTTGTGAAGAGAACTGAATAATGTCCTGACTGCATCACAGTATTGAATGAATCATTTTTCATTTATTGACTGAATCCACATAAATGTCTCTTATGATTTCTGTCGGACCCTGAGTACACTGAGTCTACTTGTTGAATGTAACAATGATCCGTATATTCACACATCAATATTGTTATGAGTGTTTGACATTTTTACTTCAAATTAAAGCAAATAAGCTCTCTAAGCATCTTTGTAAACGCCAACATTACACTTGTAAGCTTTCGATTTGTCCAACTTGATAAATAAGTTATTAAAACTTAATTAAAATAAGAGTGTACCAAGTAATTATGAAAATGTAAATTAAATCAATGATCATGATCACTCTGGAATTAAGAATAGGAAATAGTTCTACATGAATCTGTATGCGTGTCTGATAAATGGAAATTGTATAGATTATTTCTTGTGGATAAGGAAGAAGAAATAAGATGTGTTTCGTCATTCTGCTCCTTTTCGTTCAAATTAGATTTTTTGTTATGTATATATTATTGTTTATATTTTTTATTTGTTTTTATTTTGAATGAAATAAACAAATAAAAAAATTTATTTAAAAAAAAATGAGTTGACACGTTCTCAATTCTTATGTTCCAGCGAGCTGGACATTAGGCCAGACTGCTTCAGCGAGTAAAGAACCATCCTGCTCAAGGTCAAACTTCTTTACAAAACTGCATCAGATGCAAAACAGCTCCGTCAGCTTCCAGCAGACCCTGGTGGTATCTTACAGTTTGTGACCTTTGATGTTCCACAAGTCAAACCCATCCAGCACTCTGACCGAGTGACTTCGTCCTCTCCGGACCACCGAGAGCTGCCAACACAAGGGCGTGGGCGGTTTTATTAATGACAGTTTGCTAAACCAGACATCACGATTTTCTAACACACTTAATCAGGGTCTGCTACATAACATCTAAGCTCACATCCCATTATCTCATTCATGGTCTCAGTTATCTTGTTCCAACCATCATTCATCATATTTGTTCTGTGTCATTAGTTTAGAGATGTAGTATTAAACTAATTATATAACTATGTTTTTGCCTCTGTCTCAAACTATTACTAAGGTGTGATTTTCCTGGACTACCAAAAACACCTGGTTTCATCTTAGATCAATAACATTGATCATTCATATTTATATGGAAGATCACATCTCATTGATCATTTATCTAAAACTCACGACACATTACAGTAACCTCTAACCCCGTGTTACATCCCAGACACTAAACACCAATAATAATCTAGGATATCCACTGGACCATCACCTACTGGATTATAGGGTTGTTGTAATCTCAGGAATAATCCTAGTTTAGCCTGTTTGCACAATAATGAAAGGACTTAAAGATAATATAGTAATGTGGAGTGACACAAGGCTGGATCACTCGGGTCAAGGTAAAAATATTTCATTGGTGCAAATAAATGAAGTAATGTTGTGACAGTGGATCACTGCCACACCTAAATACTGGGCAGATCTACTGATCTTATACTTATAATTGGAATGGGACACATTCATGAGGTATTGAAGGTGTTTTTTTTTTTTTTTTGTATATTGATTAGCAGGTGGCCCGGTAAGAGGGGAAGTATGGTATTTATTGATGGGAAGAACTGAACAAGGAAAGGGCTGTGGAACAAACATTTGTATTGTGGGCGTGTGCTTACCTTTCCTGTTTCCTGCCAGCAGGTGTGAGCAAAATAGTCCTCGAGGGCGTGTGGATCTTTTATAGGTTCCAGAGGGATATACCAAGAGGAGGATTGGAAGAGTGATTGGGTTATTTTAATATGGTGAGAAGTATTGATGTATGTCAAGCACTGCTTATTTATAGAAATGAATGTAGATATTTTAAAGTAACTATGATTGTGTATAATTTATTAGCTTTTACGTTAAGTGTTGAGGTTTTAGGTGATGGTTTTTCCTGATTAGGGAGATGCATAAAAGCTGATGTTTTCACTGAGAAGAGGTGAGATGTGTGGGGGATGTAGAAGTCTGCGCAGCAAAATATAAAGAAAAGAACACCATTCTCCTGTCCTCTGGTTTGTGATGTTACTCTGCTAAATGGATTGCTTCCAAGCCCCCACAATGCGGGTGAAAAATTGAGGCAAACCCGGAAGTACCAAAAATTACAGTTCCACCCTCATCCGCTGAGGGCTGGTGTCAGAAGCGAGCAAATACTCATTGACTCCCATGTTAAAAATACCAATTTCACAGCAGAAATAAACATGTTTACAGCCTGGTACCAAAACATGGTTTTGGTTTAAATGATCTAGTTTACACTCATGACAACTCTGAGGGGGGTGAATTTTTTTCTCACTCTTCTGTTTAAGTGTATTAAAAGCCTAAAATTCTGTATAATTAATGAGCATCAGACCCACATGACCACAGAGCTAGCTCCGTGGAAAGGCCTCAGTAGAACCTCGGTCTGGCTTGGAAACTGTTCCGGGATTTTGAGTCTCTGTGTTTGTGTATTCTTTTTTGGATATTTTTTGTGCAATTGTTGGACAAAATGACTTGCTGTGGCATTAATTGCACTAATAGAGCGTCCAAGGAGTCTCCACTTCATTTTTTTTCGGTAAGTAAAATTATATTTATGTATTTTAGGTCACTGCCGAGCTGAGCTTAGATTTTAACATGTACTGTTTAACCATGAAATTTAAATGTAATAGGGTAAAACCCAGTGCATTTAACACAATGCTGCACTTTAGAAAATGGGTTGAAATATAACATGTTGGTGGAGCTGGGTTCCGACTATCGGTTTGTGGAGCTCTCGGGAGACCGATGTTTTCCACCCGGTTCTCCCCTCCCCGCAGCTCGGCGCATCTCTGTCAGCTGCGCGGGCTGCCGGCTTTCAGCAGCTTTTGGGAGACCTCTGTGTTCCACCCGGTTTTACCCAGCGGTCAGCCCGGTGTATCTCTGACTCAGAAGCTCTGGTGTTGTGCACAGTTAACTCCGGTTGTAGCTAGGTTGCTACCTCCTTTAGCTTAGCTCCCACCTCCGCGTTAGCTTTGGGTTAGCTTGTAGCTAGTTCAACCGGGTGTCATCAGTTGATCCCAGCCTTACAGCCCCACCCTCAGCTCCACCTCTCTTCCCTTTTGTGGAATTGTCTGGGCTTGAAGGAACCTGTGACACGGTCAAAATGGCGGTGGTGGCCACCTCCCATTTACCCTCAAAAATGTGTTATTGGAGCCTATGGAAACCCATTGTCCAATATTTATATGTCGATGATTGCTTCTAAGGACCGGTCGGCCTAGATAACAAATGTTTAGTCATCGTTGCTGTTCCTGTAGCTGTTGAGATGAACTGGATGAAGCGCAGTGTGCCTATTGTTCATAACATATTAATGCTCAGACCTTACAGATGTAGTGGTTAGAAGAAACCATGATGCTTAAAGGGTAGGGTCACGCGAACGTGACCAGCACAATAGAACCCAACCCAGTCTGACTGGTGAGAAGGAGCCCGACCTTCCCCACAAAGGCCAGCTAACGGGGGGGTGGCGGGTGGTACGTTGGATCTTATCCATGTGCTTAGACCTCAGCCTGGTCCACCAGACAGGAAGCGTTAACACACGATGTCCCTCATTTGTTCTCGTCTCATAATCAAATGTGTGGTTTGTCACCAGCATTTCTTATTGGGTAGGGAAAAAAACACACAAAACACTTGGATTGTTCTGGAATTTATTGGTTCAAAAATCATGTCTTTAAAACTTCTGCTTATTGATTTATGATCCAAAACAGCAATTAAATAGTTTTTAAATATCACAATCTTCACTATATCAGAATCTCAAAAGGCTAATTAAACCAAGTCTGAGTTGTTTTACTGTTTCAGGTGCTGCCGGTGCAGCAGCAGTAAGAGGCCTGCAACAGCTGTGCTCACAAAGGGTTTAATTAGAAAGGATGGCTGGATGCGCGCACGCGCACCCACACACGCGCGCGCACACACACACACACACACACACACACACACACACACACACACACACACACACACACACACCTACAACAGGCAGCAGGCTCTGAACAGGGTCACTCCAGACTGGGAGGTGATGTGCAGGGATAGGCTCTCATTGGCCGAGACAAACAGGACAGAGCCACGTTTCATTGTGAGGTCAGAAAAGGCAGCAGCAGAGGCTGCTATGGCATCACCCTCAATGACCAGGAGGATGCTAGCGCTGTCCACGGCAGCCACACAGTAGTCCTTCACTGAAGGAGGGACCTGCAGGGAGACAGGGGAGCCTACTTAGTGACATGACATTGGTTTGATGGTGACATGTCACATTAAGTAGTATACCCATGTGAGTGTAATTACATCATCTCAATCCCTAGAAGACAGCAAAGGTGCAGGCACTAATGGTTCACTCCTATTATAGCAACCAGTTAGCTTAATAATTTTTATTAGTGTCTAAAATCCTCCCTCAGATCAGGCGAGTCCAAAGTGTGGCCCTCAGAGTGACTTTGAGCCAAGTCTAATGATCATCCTAGAATGATTACTTCTATCTCGTCAGACTATTGATGTAGACATACACTGCTACATTTCTTTGTTAAAGATTTTACTAAAATGCCTATTTTTGACCAGTTTTAATGATAAAAAACATCACTATCAAATCATTTTTGCCGTTTTCTAATTACACATTTTTGTGGCCTGAGAGAACTATTACCTTTACACTTTTGGCCCTTGTGCTTAGATGGATCAAAGGAGTCAGTGGTTACCATGGCAACCATGCACTTATAAGACCTAGGTACAAAGTTGATAAAACTGTTAACAGCATCCATCCATCCAATCATTTCTGGGTGCTTATTTGGGTCGGGTCGTAGGGCAGCAGCCTAAGCAGCGAGGCCCAGACTTCCCTCTTCTCAGCCACTTGGGCCAGCTCTTCCGGGGGAACCTCAAGGTGTTCCCTGGCTGGGTAAGAGACATAGTCCTGGGTCTTCTCCCGGTTGGACGTGCCTGGAAAATTTCACCAGGGAGGCGTCCAGGAGGCATCCTAATCAGATGCCCGAGCCACCTCAACTGGCTCCTCTCAACGTAGAGGAGCGGCGGGTCGTTGTAGGTCAAGGGCGCCAGATTCCGATTAGAAATAGTTTTGGGGCCAGACTGAGATAATTTCCTCTCTGTCTTAAGTTTGTTTGTCCTCAACCTCTCAAAATCCCAATAATGGACATTAAACTATCCCAATCCGTGCTGATTCGTCCACTCTATCCTTGATGGCATCCATCTTCTGTGCCAATGAATGAATCTCGGCCAAAGTTCCAAGCTTACGATTCATCTCGACAATTATGTGAGTCTGTGAATTCACAGCGCGGTGCAATCCATCTCTGAGCTCGGAGATCAGGCCTATATTCCTCGACAGCTGGTTAATTTTCCGGTAAGCCAGGAAGCCTCCAATGCCAATCAGCAGGAAACCCGACACCAACACCACGAATATCCACACATCTTCAGAGTCCTCCACAGACAGCTGGTCTGTCCCGGAGGGGCATCCGGGAGCCCCTTCTCCCGTTCTCATAGTTGAAAACATTTTATCAACCGTGTTGAGTGACCAACTGACGAGATCCAATTTAGTGAATTTCAGTTTCCAGAAAAGATGCAGAAGCAGCCGTGCACCCAGCACACACAGACAGACAGAGGCCTTGAGGATAAGATATGGAGGAGAGGAGAAGAAAAGTGTCTGCACCCTCCAAGAGCCGGAAGAAGAAACATGGCATGAGAATAATACTCGTAAAACAACATGTTTCAGCTATTTGTCAATACAGAAGTACATTCATAAACAGAAACGTGAAGTCGCCATCTTAAACAGAGCGACAGACATTTTGTGTGATATGCTTGTCAGCCACTAGATGGTACCATCGGATAAGATAAATACTCCAGAAAGAAGCTTTAATGCTACTCTGGTCAGGTCCCTGCTTACTTTAAGAACGCTGTAATCCACCCGCTTCTTAAAAAAACAAGTCTTGACACCTCTCTCCATAGCAGCTTCAGACCCATCTCTAAACTTCTGTTCATCTCCAAGATCTTGGAAAAGCTTGAGGCTAAACAACTCACAGCTGCTCTTGATGAACATAACATCTATGATAGCTTCCAGTCAGGTTTTCGTAGAGCTCATTCTACTGAAACAGCTCTTCTTAGGGTCTCTAAAGACCTTCTGACCCACTATGGTGAACACCAGCACAGAGCGAGAGGGGGGTGGGATTAGATCTATTTAACTTAATGGGATAAACAGCTGAAACAGGAAAGCACTGTGAGGAAAAACTGTCCTTGTCACAGGAGATGTCCACAGGGTTCGAAAGCCTTGTGTGATCATCAGGTTAAAAAACCAACGGCATTTAAGGGATTTGGTGTTAACAAGCTTTTTACGCTGACACGACTTTACTCTAACCCGGCATATTTTACTAAGGATGTTTTTCAGCTCTCGGGGTCTGGTTCATGAGTGTGGAAAGACGGAGCGTGAGATCGACAGGTGGATTGGTGCTGCATCTGCAGTGATGCAGGCGTTGTACCAGTCTGTGATGGTGAAGAGAGAGCTGAGCCAGAAAGAAAAGCTCTCGATTTACCAGTTGATCTACGTTCCAACCCTCACCTATGGTCACGAGCTTTGGGTAGTGACCGAAAGAATGAGATCAAGCAGCTGACATGAGTTTTTTCTGCAGGGTGGCTGGGCTCTCCCTTAAGAGATAGGGTGAGAAGCTCGGTCATCCGGGAGGGACTCGGAGTAGACCCGCTGCTCCTCCACATCGAGAGGAGCCAGTTGAGGTGGCTCGGGCATCTGGTCAGGATGCCTTCTGGATGCCACCCTGGTGAGGTTTTCCGAGCTCGTTCAACCGTGAGGAGACCTAAAGGAAGACCCAGGACACGCTGGAGGGACTATGTCTCTCACCTGGCCAGGGAATGCCTTGGGATTCCCCGGAGGAGCTGGCCCAAGTTAGCTGGGGAGAGGGAAGTCTGGGCCTTCCTGCTTAGGCTGCTGCCCCTGCGACCCGTCTCGGATAAGCGGATGAAAATGGATGGATGTTTTTCAGCTCACCATCCGACTCCTAAAATCAAAACCAAGCCCGTGTAACCGACGTTGCCCCGTGTTCCTTACAAATGATCAACATCCACGTAACCCATCTTGCAAAAGCAAAACCTCAAAGCAGAGGCAAAACCAAGGAGCAGCAGAAACAAAGAGCTCTCTGCAGAACCAAAACATGTAAGATGGATGTAAATGTTAAGGTGAAACTAAGGAAGTCCCCTACCTGGATCTTTATGACCTTGAAGTCTGGCACTGGGGAGTCGTACAACGTTACATAGGGGTCAGAGGGATCCGGGACACCAGGGAAGATCTTGGAGGAGGCTGATGCTGGTTTGTAGTTTAACATCTCACACAGAGTGTTGACGTCGATGTATTTCCGTGTCAGGCCAGCCCTGACGGTATTATCAGAGCAGGCCATGCATTCGATACAATCTAGAAAATAAAGGGACAGATGCTAAGCTAAGCTAAGAGACAGCACCCACGTTAAACTGTTCCAAGAGCCATTTCTGGGATAGGTCAGCGAACTAAACTCATCAGCCTCATATCTGACTGGACTTTGAGTCGCCTGCTACAAAATCCTGAAAATGGTGCTGATTATTTTCACACACAGCTTTTATTCAGACTCCCATTACCCAGCTACACCAGCTTTAATGTGTGTGTGTGTGCATTTTTTTTTTAACAACTGAAGCCATCTGTCTCTAATGGGGCCTGTTGTGGACACCAGATAAATGAAAAAAGCAAAACGTCACTGACCACCATGGATGTAGGCATGAGGCTCGTTGGCACCGAGAAACATGGCCTGGCCCGGTTCCAAAACCACATAATTCAGGAAGTATATGGAGAAGCAGCCGATGTCTCCAGGATACTGGGAGTGGAGACGAAGCAGCAGCTCACCGTTGCTGTTGGACGTGTCCTTTCCTGCTGCACCTGAACACACCAGACATATTTAGAGGAGCAAAGCTGCATTTCTACCCGTTTAATGCTCCGTTTGTAAGGTTGAAGGACAAGGACAGGAAACTCTGCTGCCACCTAGTGGGAATGTCAAAGTACAGGCAAAAGAGGATGCACAGTGTTTACCTGAGGTACCTCAAGGTTCAGTATTTGGTCTTGAGCCTTTTATTGATATTTGTGAGGATTTTATTCACTAAAGTTTATTCTCTATGTTCAAGCACTGACTTAATGATTTACACTTAAAAATGTAAACAAATGATTCCATGTAAAGATTTATAAATATAACGCTCCCACTGTCTGTATGGGTGACCCCGCGAGGAAAGTAGACCATTGTGCAGGATTGATGGTTTATCCCTTGAGGTCCATGTGGCAGGGGTGAAGTGGTGCTCACTCCTCACTCCTGCCCACATGGAGCCAAGGGATAAACCATCAACCCTGCTCAATGGTCAACTTTCCTCGCGGGATCACACCCATTAGGACAGTGGGAGGGTTAAATAAAACTAAATGATTGACAGTGGTGGTAAAAATAATTAAGGGGGGGACTCAATAAAAAAAAATTAAGCTAATTAATTAGAGGCTTTGGAATTAATCTTGATTAATCGCATTTTAATCATTCAAGAAAATTTGCCCAAGAATATTTATTAAAAATAATGAAGTAGAGAATTAAACAGTAGACATGGATACTATTGTAAACTCAAGCTCTTACTGATAAGCAGAAGAGAATGGATGGATAGACTCAAGCTTTACAAAAAAAAAAAAAGCTTTTTAATCAAAGTCTCTTTACGGAGTATTTCTCTTATCTGATGGCACCATCTAGTGGCGCATAATCACACAAATCATCTCTCCATCCCTTTTTTGTAGGTATTCCTTAAATTTGAAGCTTGTAGGCGCTAATCTAACGCTATTGGTTAGTTCTGGTCAATGCTCAGTTTTCTATTGCACAGAGCTCTGCGGGGCAGGGGGCGTGCTTAGCAAAAAAAATGTTGTTTTGATTACATTATATCACAGTACACAAGATAATCACTTTTATGGATTTCTGAAAAATCCTATATCATTTAGGGGAAAACTCTGGAAAGATACTTAAAGGGACTATAAGGACGTTTGACAGCCAAAACATGTATATAAATAATAAATTTCTTCTTCATATATTAAATTCAATTCAATTCAAGTTTATTTATATAGCGCCAAATCACGAGAAGAGTGGTCTCAAGGCACTTCACATAATAAACATTCCAATTCACAGTTCATTAAGCCAATCAGAAATTATGTTTCCTATATAAGGAACCCAGCAAATTGCATCAAGTCACTGACTAGTGTCAGTGACTATACAGCAATCCTCCTACTAAGCAAGCATGCAGCGACAGTGGAGAGGAAAACTCCCTTTTAACAGGAAGAAACCTCCAGAGAATCCTGGCTCAGTATAAGCAGTCATCCTCCACGTCTCACTATTCTCCTGCAATGCCCTGGTCCTGTAGAATGAGCCCTGGCATTTTTACTGTGATTGCCTGTTTTTCTGTAAAATCACAGAAAAAGAGAGCTGCTCGGGTCGAGCAGGCTGCTTCATGCGCGTTCATGCTCAGGCATAGCCCATAGCATTTGCTATCCGTAGCTTTAGCAGCAGAGAGAAAAGCAATGCCACTTTGTTGCTGTTCCTAACGTCTAGTGACAAAGCTAGCTACATTTCTGAGGACCATTAGCTACTTTCTGTAGAACTTTCTTCTAGATATTTCCTGCAAATTAGCAACAAAATAGCCATTTTCGCGCCGAACCGTTCTTTGAACGTTTTTCAGCTATTATCAAGGATATAAATGTTACAGATACAAAGGACGTCACTGGCGCTTTTGCTCACCTAGTAAGATGTCGGACTCTGGTTCAGAAGACCTGGGTTCGATTCTGGATGTGAACATAGTTTATTTAGAGTTTCTTTTTTACATTAATGGTATTTTTTTACAGTAAGACGCCCAAATTTTTATTTGAGACTCGCCGAACGGCATTGAATTCACAGATAAAAAAGATGTGGGTTCAACTTTCATTTTGGAACAATTTTTCAAGCAAGGGAAGGGAATTATCTGAGCGTGCAGGAGGACTGACCCATCTTAAACCTTTGTCGGCTGTGCTGAAGAGAAAGGTACAGAACCAAATTATTTAATTAATTAGCTGTGCGTTCTCCTGTCCTCTGTCCCTCTCTCTCTCTCTCTCTCACACACACACACACATACACACACACACACACACACACACACACACACACACACACACACACACACACACACACACACACACACACAAGGGACTGTCTCAGCTGTTATTTTCGTTAAGGAGTGTGCACGTACAGCATGCGTGCCTCGTGCACGAGTCTACTATTGAAGCTGCCGTTACGCTTTTGGCCTCAGGGGGCAATCGCGAGCATAAAAATTCAAAACTCTGTAAAGTCCCTTTAAATCAAATGTCACTGTGTCATATAAAACTAGTTCCCAGTCAATTAAAATTGATAATTTCAGGGGTCTGGTTATAGTGGTCATGTAGTCGAACATTTTGAGTGCTCTGCTGCCAAGTTTGTAATAATGTTCTCCTGCTCACTAATAGCTTCAACTAATACGGTTGAGCCACAGAAGGGGAAAGATGGGACAACTAAACAATCGAGCACATTTGACTAGTGTTTCCCCTACATAGGCTCAGGAGTGGAGCTGCGCCATGGCTACGAAATAGCCGTCATTATAATTTTGCAACTATAAAGACTAACAGGCAATCCTGATCTCTGCACGGGATAAAAAAGATATGAATTACAAAGATCAACAGGGTAGTTTCTATCCAGACTTGGCTACCGGGATTGTCCAGAATAGAATTTTGACCCAATTTGTGCAGAACTACAAAAACTGGGGGTCCTACATGGGGTGCGACTCACGAGGGCAAAACACTTTCCTATAAACCCCTGAAGAAGCACAGATCTTCCTTTAAAAAATCCAGGAACTCTGAAACTAAGAGCAAGAAGTCTAAGATGAAGTCATATAAGTTAGTATTCCATTAGTTTGTAGGATGCAAATGAGAACAACAAGTTACTACTGTATTCTTGTATAATATAGTCTTCCAGGAAGGAAGCAGACTCCAGGGACTTTGGGTTAAAGGCTCTGGATGTTAAAGGGTTGAAAAACTGTAACGCCTTTTGTAACGTACCGAAAGGCCAAGTACTTCATCAAATGACCAAAAGTTAACTTCTACATACAGGTCAATCTGACACCGGAGGTGTCGGTTTGAGTATCGATGATCTTAAATACATGCATAAATAAATTAAATACATAAACATCTTGACCCAATATTCTGAACTTATCCTGTGTTATATCACAAGGCATCAAGACGCTGCAGAAGATGCAAAACTTCTTATCTAACTTCTTTGAATATAGTTTATATTTTCTGGCTCATAAAATTACTTTATAATTTTATAAGTTATATATAATCATATTTTGTTGAATTTCCAATATGTTTAAGTCTAAAGTTTTATTAATGTGAATGCTCTACAGTCCTGAATGATGGGTTAACAAATGTTCATTCCTAAATTCATTTATTCCAGATCTTAAATGACACCAGATTAGTATAGTTGTTGAATTTAATACTGTATATTACCTATGTAAGGGAAACACTGCATATGACGTGAATTGGTACTCAGTCAGTACTATGGAATTCAGTGGGTGCATTACAAGGTACCGAATTCAGTACCCATCCCTATTTATAAGTGGTCAGACCGTGGCGGTAATGTGGCAAAATCGTGTCCTTTTTTTTTTTAAAGATTAGGCGATGGCAGCATAAAGGGGGTATGGGGGCGGTCCCTGCACTGCCAGAGACTTCTGTTCCTCTTGGACATAACTTGCGTTTTACTGCGATCAGAGCTGCACTCATTAACAAGCTGCTCCTAAAGGTGTCTGGACCCCACAGTCTCCATGCAGTCTCTGGGTCATCTGAGCTCCAGCTCTAACAAAGCAAAACTTACGGCCTGTGTCTACTTTCATTTTCAATATAGTTGCCGGCTGGAGCTCGACAATAACTCCTCACGTCGTCATGACACCTCCCTCTGTTTCCCAAGGTGCAATCGCCGTTTCTAAGACAGACAATTACCGCATTATTACTGCCAAGCGAAGCGGAATGAATGCGTCAAATTGGCGTAATTCCAAGCCAGCATGGCGCGCGTATAAGAGACACTGTGTGAGTAATATTACGCCAATTTGCCAGAACGATGTGTCTTGTAAAAAGGGTTATTAAAGCCTCACCTTCCTCAGACACTCTTTTAACCAGCTCATTCAATTCATCCACGAAGACCTTCTTCTCACAGCTCATCATCCTTGTGAAGCACTTTTTCAGAGCCTGGCTTGAACGAATCTCATCTCCCATGCTGCTCTGCAGCTCTTCCGCTGCTTCCTGGCCCACCAGCGCATAGAACTCCGGGACCTCTGGGACACAGCACAAATACAGCAAATGGTAGAAATTAATGTACAGTAAAACATATTGCTCCAGTTGTCTGAAGACCTGGCACAATACACAACACCAGGACTCACGCTGAAGGAAGCTCAGAATTTCTACAACTGGTCTAAAGCCACAGAGGCCTTGGAAGCGTGTGAGGGCGATGGCCATCTCTGGCTTGTGGTTGTTGTCGGGATAATGTTCTGGAAACTGAGCGTGAAGACTGGCAGCTAGCTCCTAATGACAGAAACAATCACAAAGTCACGTTTATGTAATCCTGTTTATGATCAGAACTATACCAGAACGGCTTCAACGGGGACAAATACAAGTATGTTTGTCACATGTTACAACAGGTGATATAATCACATACTACGGCTTTTTGTTTGCATACTTCAGAAGTGTTTTTGTTTATTAGTAAATTATATATATATACATACATATATATATATATATATATATATATATATATACATACATATATATATACATACATTTATATTTATATTTAATATAAATACCGTTCAGCGCTTTGGGCTTCCTGACAGGGTTGCGGAAGGCGCTTTATAAATAAAGCTTTGATTGATTGATGTATATATACATATATATATATATATATATATATATATATATATATATATGCATACATACATACATACATATATAAATACATACATACATACATATATATATGTATATATAAGTATATAAAAGTTCCTTTCAGACCTCCATGCTGCTACTCTTCAGAGTAAACTCTCACAACTGGATCCAGCTGTGTATCTAGGTCAAGGGTCACTCAGCTTACCAAACCAATTTTGAGTTCCAAATCCAAAAATTACTTTTAAAGTTTTTGGAATAATTAAAATGACATCAGTGCCCAAATGTACGCACCAGTCAAACAATTACTGCACTTTTTGTAAATCCTATAAACTTTGTTTCACTTCTCAAATATTACTGTTTCCTATAAGGTAGGGCAGCACAATATCAGGAAAACCTGAAATATGCGATAACAGTGATTAATATTGCGATGACGATATTATGTGTGTAATGAATTATAGATTACAGTTATTTAATGAGCCATAAGGTGTGGGATTCCATAGGAAATATGAACTCCACCTTGCGGATTGGTGGGTTATTTAAACCAGAAGATTGGATCTTTTTAATGCAGGGATTAGATAACCGCTCCGTATTCACTCAGAGACAACAGAAGAGGGAGAGTCAAGTTTAAAAGTTAAGAATTTTATTACTAACAAATTAAACTAGACTGACTTTAAAACTAAATGTATAGTGTAACTAAAATGGATAAGGCGGTGAATGGATGACGTGTGATGTTAAATCAGAACCAGCAAATCCGAATGAAGCGATTGTTCTGACGGGAACTGAAGGTGTTGTTTTCGCATTAAGCCTTGGTTAGGAGGTTCAGAAACACATGAGACACCATCATGTCGGTCTACCTACCCTTCGTGGAAGTCCTCTGTGGATCAGGAATATCGAGATCCAGTGGACCCTCTCTGAAACCGAGCCGGTAGGAAAAGCCGCAGTTCCGATCAGACCCGTCTTTGAGTTACTTCCGAGTACACGACAGGTTGTGGTGTCTGGTGAGACCCAAGGCTGGGTCTGGATGGTTCAGCTTTTATTCTGAAAGGAACTGTTGTCGCTGTTGGAATCGCAACGAATATTTCTTTTCAGCTTGTTGTTGTTCTTTCGGTTAAAGAGTTGAGATTAGGATTGGCCACTCCGTCACTTTCTGTGGAACGCTTTGAACTGCGTTAGAGCTGACGTGGCATAGTTTACAAATCGGATGTTATGGTTTATTGTCGAATGAAAAATTACTAAACACCATCAGAACCATGCCTCCGTCAGATCTGTAAGATTCTGATTGGATCACTGAAAGGAATGTGTTATGTCTTTTTAACGCTACGTGAAATGAGTCCTGTTGGAACACTTAAAGTCAAAGTACCTTTATATTCTATAGGATTATAATAAGGTAATTAATATTTTGATTTCACAGGTCGGTCACATCTTATTTATTGACTAACACTTTGATGGATTAGCTTTATTAAAATAGAGTTCTTTGATTAATTAAAAGAAAAGAGTTCATTCTTCATTCTTCTGTTGAGCTGAAAATAAGCAGGTTAGAAGGAATGCATGAGACCTTGAGACCCTATCCCATGCAGACTAGTCTTGAGCTGAGGAGGGAAAAAACAGTCATTCCGTTCCGTTACACGTGCGACAAATAAAAACTTAACTCAGGGACAAAAATCATCAAAAACAAATGAAAATACTTACAAAAAAAATCCCAAAAATGAGAAAAGCAAAAGATGTGAGGAAAGGGAAAAATAAAATGAACAAGAAAAGGCGATCAGTGGATCCCAGGAAAAGCAGAATCAGCAGATAGATCAGAGCAAAGCTAACTCAGGTGTTTGCTATCTATCAAAATGAAGTGCCGTTAGCCTCGGGGGTGGGCATCTGATCTATGAGAACCCACCCAATTGGCCAAAAGGGTGAAGAGCTCTATTTGATGTGTTAAGAAACATCATGCTTCCGTTTGACCGACAGAATGCATTATGTGTAGCAAACATTTGAGCTGACCATTCACTACGATATTTATCTGTTCTTTGCTTTATGCATATTGCACATGCTGATATCGTGATAAAGATATATTGTGCAGCCCTACCATTAGATATATTTAACTGAAGATTTTTCATTGTAACAACCAAGAAAACCATGAAGATTAACAAGGCTGCCCAAACCTTTGCATCCTACTGTATATGACACTGAAGTATTTTCATAACCCACCAGTGACAGTAAAAGCAGGTTTTAGAAGGGTTATATGCTTGTTGCAAAAGTTTTAAACCTGCTCTGAATTTTATCAGCTCTGTTCAAACAGAAACACTTTTAGCAGAAAAAACTGTTGGATAAAGATAAATAAATCATTGTAAAATATGACATAATGCATAATGGAGGTTGAGCTAGAAAAGGGTGTGTGTGTGTGTGTGTGTGTGCTTTTCACCTTGTTGGGGTGGGCCTGTATGGACAAAGCTGTATTGACAGACAGAACCTTGAAGAGGAAGGGCAGCTGACCCTGAAAAGCGTCCTTCACTTTGGAGCCGAGGCATGCTGGGTAGTGTGCAATCCACTGGCCCAGGGTTGTTTGGGCAATCCGATTGTCTTTGATCTGGGCGTCGCCTTTAGGGTGGGCCCCCATCCACAACTGCAACAGTCATCACTTCTGTTAGTAAGTAGAGGCAGTTCAAACTCCTGAACACATATTATTGATGACTTTAAGTCATTGAGGTAGTTTTACATTCTTCATTCATTTTTATATTTAGTTTTTACTTAAAAAAGTTTATACAGTTTTATTTGTTATTAATTAAATTTTAATATATATCACACAAGAAAAACGGGGTCTGCAGACAAAATACAAAGGTAGCAATCCTTCAGAATTACTGAATAATACATCAGCCACCTCTCCCACAAACTGCTCCTATCTTTCAATGCAGTTACTTCATTTCTTTTGTTGTTTGACTTGTGCATGCAGCTGGACTCCAACTCTGACCAAGAGATGTCTCTCCACTATCAGATCTTCTACAAACAGTACAACGGACAAAGCCCTCTACCACTCAAAGTTATGCTTTATTCCCAAAAGCCCTTGCAATATTTGAAGATGAGCAGGGCTGGATCATCATTGCAGGGGCCGCAGCTACAGCTAAGATGAAGAGGACACATAAAACAAGAATTAACATTTTCATTTTCTAAATTTTGTAATGAGGCAAACAGAGTAAGTTTGTATTTAGCTGGACTTTGAACCCAGGTGAACTCCCAGAAGGTATGTTTAAAACAAATGCTTTAAAAAAAAAAAATTATCCGTCATAGTTCTGTAATGTGTTTTTTAAAAAGTTAAGGGAGAAAATAACCTAATTAATCAGATTTAGAATGAGGAAATCTGAGTTTTGATTTTAAACCAAGTTCTAATATAACCGTGTTTTCTTCTTCTCCCGCTGGAGTCTTCCTCTCATCATCAACTATAACAACTGCCACCCTTACCCGCCTTATCTTTGAGTGGCCTCGTGGAGAAACGCTGATGCAAGCAACAACCGGTGAGATGCCGGATGTGGAGCATTCCCATTCATTTCATTTGTACTGTCAGGTTTAGCTGCTAGTAACAGTTTTTTGAACATTTGAAGAGGATTTAAAAAAAAAATATTTACCCTCAAAAAATGTACTCAGGCAGCTCGGGAAGATGTTGTGCTGTTTGCAATTGTACCAACAACCAGAGAAATTTTAATTTGTAGCTATTCCGGTCGGTTCCACTGTTGAAACGCGTTTCTCCACCGCTCCGCACCGTTCAAGCGGTGGAACACCCATCATTACTTTTCATTTAAACTGCAGAATAACGTGTGATCCAGGGTCTAAGGCTAAGCGGATTAGAAAATAGCTTTTAGCCCCATTGACTTGCGTTCATTTTTCCTTTCTTCCAGGGACTCATGAGCCGACCAGAAAGGGAGGAGACTTAGGCTCTCTATTAGCACATTGTCCGCCAGTAAAAAGCATCTTCCTTACACAAAAACTTACCTTGTACAATAAAGGGCATAAAGGTAACTTGAAAAGATGTTGCACGAGTGCAACGTCTAAAAATTGTTTATCGCACAGAGTGTTTTTCATTGCACGTGTGACATACATGTCGCACTGTACAGCCTTGGAGAGCGTGCTTTCTCACATGTTGCAACGAAGCTCTAAAACCAGGAGCACACTGTGCGACCTTTTCACATTTTTGAGCTCATTTTCCCCTCGTGTGAGAATCTACATGATCGGGGCAAGTTTTGGGCTGAGTGTCGTGTAGTACGCAGGGGGTAACAAGAGGCGATTAACACCACGTGATAGCCCCCCTATTGGTCGCAGGAAATGTGGTCGCCATCTTGGATCGGTCATGCTTCCGCAGACATGGACCACAACAGCGGCAGTAACAGGATGCCAGAGTTCTGTGGGGATTATTCCTGCTATAATCAGCGGATTATTGAGACCAGAGCTTGGGGGATTTCTCTTAAAAGGTAAGTTTGAGCATTTTTGTTGTTTGTATTTAGTAAATATAACTTTGCTGTACTGTGTTTGTAGCCAGCTAGCATTAGCTACATGCTAACTGCTGCCGTCTCCCTGACAGTGAAGCTAAATAAGACTTTATTAATCATTTATTCCTAAACACCGACTTATATTACAGCTGAAACAAGAATGCTGCTGTAGAAACCAATCTTCCTGGTATTAGATACATCTCAGGTCTCTGACTGGAGAGTTAGCCAGCCGTGTCACCAGACGATTTTGACGGGGCTTCAGCCCCGAATGTTTTCAGTCAAACCCCAAATATTTATTCATAATTTTTTCACTCATCAGCCACAGGCTCGCTCATCTAACCCTAACTCACAGCAAGCTGGGCTTGCTACTACCGTGGTGTCTCACCCCCTCCCCTCTCCTATCTTGCCTGCTCTGAATGGACACGAGCGTGCGCAACGTGCTCTGCATGCGATATTGAGTGAGGCGGCAACCACTGGAATGCGTACACCCAGATAAAAAGGTGTTGTGAAAAAATGGAAATGTTGTGTTTGGCGCCGCCTTAATGTAAATGTTTGGTGTCTTGCGACTATGTGTTTTGCCAGCTCTTTGTTCTGAGATCAGTTGGAGTAGAGTAAACCTTGTGATAAGATTAGCAGTTATCAATGGATCATAGAAAACATTAAAGAAAACTGTTGAAACTCTTCAGTTTTTTTCAGGAGAAAGCCTACTGGTAAGAATCTATCTTTGAGAAGTGCAAATGAAATTATTCAGAAAGGAAAATGCTGACTCATGCATCGTTTACTTTAGCTGTTGTGTTGCTAGCTAACTAGCTATCCCTAGTAGGCAGTAGCATGTGGACGAAATTTAGAACATTTTATTAATAATACAAAGCAATGAAAACTTTTACATTTCATAGCAAAACAATTTTAAATACTGAAGAACTCCACAGTAGACCCAATTTGCAGCTTTAGAAAGGGGAAATGTTTCCATAATGGATGTAGAACAACATGCTGATTTGTTGTTTTTGTCCAGTTGCTTGTATTGCATCATTATCTGTGTTGCTTGTTTTCTGTTGCTTTAATGCTCATGTTGATTTGGTTTAATATTTTTGTAGAAAGAAGCAAAGGTGAGCTAAAGCAGGAGCCTGCAGCAAAGGTCTTCGAATCAACCATAGAGATTGGTAATAGTTATCTGCCTTTTTTGTTCTGGAGCATGCTAACCAAATTAAACAGATTAGTAATACACTTGATGCATTTTGAATGCATGTAGTCCAATTATTTACTTAAATGTTATGTAGTTAGTTGAAAGTAGCAGGCAGTATTTTTTTTATTAATCTGGAAATTTAACAAAGAGAAACAAACATGCAGCATCCATCTTGAACATTTGTTGCAGAACTCCTCAGCTCTTTCTCTACACCTCAATTTTATACATGTAATGCTCTGCTGCCACCTAGTGTTAGAACACAACAATAAGGATGTTTATTTTTGTATTTTTAGTTCTCAGCTTCGCACAATTAATTTTGATGTCATGATCTTTTAGTGGTTGTGAGAGATGACCTACAGACTGAAGAGGCCACAGGAGCAGTTGATGTAGCTGCATCACCACCAGAAAAACCATCATTAGGACAATGATTTTTCATTTCAGTTTATTGATATAGTGCCGTTTCACAACAAGCTATTAAAAAAAACCTTTTGAATTCAATTGTTTTGAGTCAGGTGTGTATCATTTTCTAACTTGTTCCTGTCTTATTTTCATTACAGATGACTCGGGAAGCTGGAAAGAGGTGGAGATAGAAGATGCCAGAGTGACCGATTTAGGAACCCTGGAAACAGGCCCAGAGAGACCAAAACATATAGAGTACCCTTTCACAAACTTTGGACTTCAGAGAAGGTCATTCCAAAGAAAATGTTTGACTCTTTTGAGTGGCTGGAGTATTCGATCAGTCAAAATTCAGCATTCTGCTTTAGCTGCAGAGTCTTTGGAAAGCAGGCATGGCGGCCAAAAAAAGACAGCATCACTAGCATGGTTGGTTTTTCCAACTGGAAAAGAGCATTGGAGAGCTTCAGAGAGCATGACACATGTGCAGGACACAAAGCTTCAATGCTTGCCTGGAATGGCTATAAGGTAACTTTGACAAAAGGCAGTGTGGTTGACTGAATAAATGTGGCCAGCATTGACCAGATCACCGAATGGAGAGAGTACCTTTGTCGTGTTGTGGCTACGATATATTTTTTAGCTAAACAGGGAATGCCTTTCCGAGGCCACGATGAAACAGATTCCTCAAGCAACCGGGGGAATTTCCTGGAGCTCTTGACTTACCTGGAGGAATTTGACCCGTTTCTAAAAGACCACAGTGCACCCTCTCATTCCACATATCTTTCCCCTGGTTCACAAAATGAAATGATCAAGTGTTGTGCTGATGAGGTTACTGCTGGGATCATTAATGAGATGAAACATTCAAAAATGTTTGCAGTGATGGTTGATGAAGCTCGTGATGGTTGTGTTGAGCAACTTGCTGTTTGTGTGCATTATGTGGGGTCTGATGACACAGTGAAAGAGCGTTTTCTTCAGCTTTCCAACCTTGAGTCTGATGATGTTTCCATTGCAGACACCATAGAAAATGTGTTAGAATCAAATGGATTGCAAGAACTGAAATGTGTTGCACAAGCATATGATGGAGCAGCTTTGATGCGTGGTCCAGTTGGACGAGTTCAGGCTCTTTTTCGTCAAAGGCATCCAGAAGCAGTTTATGTGCACTGCTATGCTCATGAACTTAATTTGGTGCTGTGCCACACTTGCAAGGCTGTGTCAGACGCCAGTGATTTCTTTAACACACTAGAGAGGTTGTACAGTTTCTTTAGTGTTTCTCTGATCAATCATAAGGCTTTCACCGACATGCAAAAAGTATTGGGTTTAAAAGAGAGCCAGCTAGTTCAGCTATCTAAGACTAGATGGGCATGCCAATTACAGTCTGTAACTTGTGTCATTGCTAACTTCCCTGCACTGCTAAGGTGCCTGGCAGAAATGAATGATCCCATTGCAATTGGATTACACACACAACTTGTTAGATTATCTAGTGTTTATATGCTGGTGATGTTTAAAAGTCTGTTGTCCACTATAGAGAGGCTCCACATGTACCTCCAGATGCAGGACATAGACCTAGCCCAGGCTACCATGTACAAAGAAGCCGTCCTTGAAACTCTAAAATCAATGCTGACTGAAACTGCAGATCAGTTAGACAAACAGGCCACAGATATTTTTGAGGCCAACAATTCACAAGATGTCTCTCGAAAAAGAAAGCAAAGGCATTTAGATGACTATGTGGTGGAGTCTACCACAGGCACAAGATCTCACGCAAGCTCTGGGGATGAGCTGAGAAACCACATATTCTACCCATGCATTGATAGAATGCTAAGTGAGCTGGAGAGAAGATTGAGTGGTGTTGGCACTGATCTGATGAAAGGCATACAAGCTTGTCATCCAGCAGCAGAGGACTTCATGTGTGGACAATCATTAGAACTAATTGCCAATCACTACAAGATCTCACTCAGAAAAGAAGAGATTGTAGTTGCAAAACACTTCCTGATGGAAAACAAAAAGAAGGCACCATTTCAGATGTGGCAAGTGTGTTTCTTCTTCTTAACCCTACCATGTTTCCAAGACTCAGAGCAGTGTTTCAAGTGTGAGACTTCCTGCAGCTGATTTATTCTGATCAGAAGTGGGCTGTGTCAGACTTGGAGACTCAGAGATGGAGTTTATTCTTCAGCTTCCTGGTTCTCCTTCAGAGATTAAGTGTATCATAAAGCCATCAGCATACATACATGTACATATCCTGCTATCAGTCACCCGGCAGAGTGCAATACTTTTCCCCACATACCTCGTCTTGATGTCATTTCTCACTAATTAATTTATTTTAATCACTGTAGTCAGGATCATATCTGGGTGTCCCGGAGTTTTCACAGCAACAGGGGCCACTGATGTCAGCTGAGAACCACAGGTGTGTACCATAAACACTAATATGTAATAAACATAATATGGTTGTTTGTTTTAACCAGAGACGTGCAGAACTACATCCAGAAGAGCTGCAGAGAGCCTGTCTGACCTCCCAGGTGCCCAGAGACTCTAACCTCAGTCTGATGATGTGAGGATAACACACACACACACACACACACACACACACACACACACACACACACACACACACACACACACACACACACACACACACACACACACACACACACACACACACACACACACCAGAGAGACAATTTTAGCCCCTCCCACACCCACACATAATACAAAGCAAGTCTTAAAGTTGTCCAATTCAACTATTAGAAATTACTGGTGCAAATATGTTAAAGGTGCAGTATGTAAGAATATAGTGAGAAGGTTACTGTGAGAAAATCCCAAAAGAGTCTGATGTTTCAATCATTTAGGAAGGAAGGTTCTACTGAAACATGTTTCATATCCAGCTGCTGGGTTGTCAGTTTCTTCTAAAACAAAGACAGGAGGGACGGAACTACTGTTTACCTTCAGTGAGGGGGTGCATTAACTCCTGTAAGCTGTCAGTTCTTTTCCCCTCTGTCCCCGTGTCCTGTCCGGCTATAAAGCAACCAGAACTGATGTCTGAGTACCAAAAACAGTTTAACTCTCACAGGTAGAGCGTTATAGATTCAGCTATAATCCTCCACTTGATATCTAAACTTAGATACTTTTGGTTGTTTTTAACCCCAAAGGACACGGAGATGGAAGACAAATATAGATAGACTATATACTTCTTTTATAGGTGAAGCTATTCAAAAATGCTTAGATGGGTTTAAAGTGAAAGGTGGCCTTTAAGGGGCAAGCTGTTCCACAGGACAGGAGTCACCACGAAGAAGGCTCTCGCACTCTTACTGTGTCTCAACCTAAATTAGAAGGTGGGAAATGAAAAGTAATATTCAGGATCCAGAAGAACGTGGGGAGAATATATGTCAAACACAAGATCTAACCCATGGAGAGAGTTCTATTAGAAGAATGTGGTCAGGTTCTTTATTACACCTACCAAGGTAATGATGCTACAGGCTGGAGACTCTTTGTACAGATACGTGAACACATGAACAAGGTATCTGGTAGTGGAAATCTGAAACTTCGTATTTGACTAATGTCACACAGTGGGGGAAAAGAAGTATCAACTCTGGATGCTATTAGCAGCGAGCAAGATGACCATCACCTGGAAACGGCTGAAAAGGACATTCCAACTAGGGGATGAGCTGGGTACTCGTTTCAGACGAGTATCCGGTACGGATAAAGCATTTTTGACGAATACGAGCATGAAACGAGTAAACCTCGTAAATATCTGTAATCGTGCTGAAGGAAAATCCTCATTGGGTAACTGACTGTCTTCACGCTCTGTGATTGGCCAGTCACATAGAGCGCCCGCCCCTCCCTACACACAAAACTCTCTACCCGGCCGGGAGCGCAGTCCGTCCGGCTCATCCACGCACACACACAGACAGCAACGGATCTCGCTGTGATTGCTTCACTGTTGCTCACGTTTCTTCAGTTATCCCTAGGTTTTCTTCAGCTCGCCTCTTTTTCAGTTGAATATTTAAAGTTTCTTTTTTCGTAACTTACATGGTGCATTTGACAAGACAGAGCTGACATGCTGAATCAGTCACTCACTATCTCCGCTCCGGTCGGGTTTTTTTTTTTTTTACCCCCTCTCCCTCTCACCCTCTCTATCTCTCTCAGACACACACACCTTAATCCACATTGTTTTGTTTAACTTTGTGTGGGGCAAAATGCCAAGAATGTTAAGATAAAATCAGTTTAATCAACTTAAAATAAAAAATATACCTAAAGTTGTGTCTGGTTCTAGCATTTCATATTTCCTGGTTCCTACTGCATGAGTTCAGATGTATTAATCCATGCACCTAAATATTAATGTTCTGATTTTATTGAAACACTTGTTCTGTAATAGTTCCTTTACTATTGTGATCAAAAATATTTAATCTCAATTCTGAGGCTGCTCTGTAAATAGTTTTCAAATAAACAATACACATATCAACTTTTGATCAATCCATATCAATTTCAGACTTAAAATAATATATTGATGTAAACCACACCCACTTCTGGTTAAACCACGCCCACTTCCGGGTTATGCCACACCCATTCCGAGTACAGATACAGATACAGATAGTGGTGTACTCGCTCATCCCTAATTCCAACCATCACAGACTGGATCAACACCACAGAAGAAATTCATGTTATGGTTGCTGTCAGATTTCAACAAGACATGCTTTACAAAGCCTGGTCAAAACGTATGTTAGACCGATAAGATCTGACTCTGTGTGCTTATATGTAACAGAATGACATCTGAAATGCATGGTACAATGATGCTCCTCACAATTTTATTATTTTTAGCTTTTTGTCTTTGTCTAAAAATGTTCATAACCTTAAAATAAATAAAACTGTACATGAAACTGAATCAGACATGGAAAAATGGTTGGGGTAGAGAAAATGATGCAGGTGTATGGTCTGATTAAAAACTGTCCTTACCTCTGCATAGGGCTTGTTATCCTCTATGACAGCAAGTGGATCGTCACCGACCACCAGTCTGGCCACGGTGCTCTCCAGTCCAAACTTCCCCCACGCATAATTCTGAACAGCGCAGGTCAGAGGAAACACTGAGGAGGCAAAGTTTAGATTAGGATTATGCAAATAAAGCATCAGAACACCATCTATTCTGCTGTGGAACCACAACACTCTTGTGGGGGTTTTCTTCTATTATGAAAAAAAAAGCAAGAGAAACAACTCAGTCAATGCAATACAACATTAGACTCTTTAGAGTTGTCCCGCAAATAACCTGAATCTAGTGAGCAGCATTTAACTAAATGTTAAGTCTTCATTTTTGTGTGTAAACTATTTTGTTGCCTTTTCCTCACCGAATAAGTCTGCAGTAGACCTTTTTCAAACTTCCTGGGTTTTTAACTGGAGATACGTCAGTGGCGGGGAAACAAAGGTTTCTGCAGCGTAAACGGCTGTTTGTCTGATGCTCTGAAGCAGCCCTACCTCCATTTCCATTTGTTTCAACATCTATACATGTCTGTTCAGCGCCTCAGCTGAGCAGAAAGACAGGAAGCAAACGCCGACCGTGCCGCAGCAGGCACAATTTTAAAATGTTTATAAAATAAGGTTGTGTTGTTGGTCGACATCGTCGTGATGAGTCGAATGATCATGGCAGCCCTAACCATCTTGATGCTTCATGCTCTGTTTTGGCTTGAGAGAGGAGGGCCTGGTGACGTAGTGTCGAGTCTGTGGTTTAGATCGGTTAGCAGTAAGTAGTGAGTCTAGTATGCTGCTACCTGATAGGTTAGAATGAAAAAAGGAAACTTTTAACTGAAGTTTTATCAACCCATTTTTTTATCTATCGCTCCGCATGTCTATCAGTAGATATATTGAACTATTGAATCATCGTCCAACCCTACCGGTACTTTCCCCCTGGAATAAATACTCACTCCCGGTTCGGGCAAGTGTCTGGGAGAGGACAAAACGACCAGAAGCTGACGCTGAACAAGAAGAGATGGATGTGGAAGAGGTGCTTCAGTGCCATGATTATGATGTCAGCTTTAGATACAGCTCGGGACATCATAGAAGCTCAGCAGCTGGCCATAGAGGAGCTGAGGAAGAGCCTGGAGGAGGCGTCAGTGAAGCTTTCATTCTGGCTGGAGAGATTCTCGGGATCAGATGACGACATCAGATTCTACACCAGGTGTGCACTACACAGGGGAGGGAATCCTGGTCCTCGAGAGCCACTATCCTACATGTTTTAATGTTTTCCCTGTTCCAACACACCTGATTCACCTGTTCAGTAGCTCATCAAGCTGTGCAGAAACCCGTTAACCACCTGCTGATTAAAAGCATGTGTGTTGGAACAAGGAAAGCACTATAACATGTAGGATAGCAGCTCTCGAGGACCAGGGTTCCCTACCGCTGCATTACACCTTCTTAGCTTGTCTGAGCTGCACTAAATATTCTGTTTCACTGGATAGGAGCGACCGAGGCTCTGACTATTAATCCCCATATCAGAACTAGACTCCACTCACTCTGGGTCTGGGAACAAATGTGTGTGCTTATGACTGTAATGTTAACTCTGAATGATTTTGGTTTTGAAATAAAACCCAAAAAATGTCACATAGAGAGCAAAATCCTACAGTCCTCTGCAGAATCCTCTGCCGAATCCTCACACATGTTCCCCACACCAAGCACTGCGACACATCAGCATGTTCCCGCAGTCAATCATATTACACGGCCAGCTGTACAGGTGCGCTCCATTTGCGCACCGGCCCTAGCTTCCAGCCAGGCCCAACACATTCCGCTTCCCCCACAACGTTGGGTGGGACGGGATGTCATGGCGCTGTCGCGACCGCGCGTGGCGACACAGTGCGCGGCTCCATCCGCTGGCACTATGTCCTCCCCGTGCACGGGCCCGGCTCCCACTCGTCCTTTAACTTTGGACTCCCCACTCCGTGGTGCGGATCAGCCTCTTCCAGCTGTTTCACACTCGCCCTTTTGAGCGCAGCCCTCCATGGGTCGCTACCAGTTCTCTGGTGCGAGCGATGGCGGTAAGGGCGCGAACCCAGTCCTCAGACGTCGTTCATGTGACCTCGAACACGCGTCCGCTGTCGGAACGCGCGCAAGAATGGCGCTGCCTTTGTCTCATGAGCAAATGGATATCGGAGACCATTCATTACGGTCACACACTCCATTTTCAGTCCTCTCCTCCTCCCTTCAACGGGATCGTGGAGACGATGTTCACGTCACAGGAGCAATCTCAGGCCCTGGAGCTGGAGCTGCGAGAACTTCTGTTCAAGGACGCCCTTTCCCAAGTCCCTCGCGGACAAGAGCTCTCAGGCTTCTACTCCCACTACTTCGTAGTACCGAAGAAGTCTGGAGGAATGAGACCAATTCTCGACCTTTCCCTGTTCAACTGCTCCATAGCAGTGATGCATTTCCGCATGTTTACAATGAGGCAAGTCCTAGAATACGTGCGCTCCGGGGACTGGTTCACGTCAATAAACCTGAAATATGCATACTTCCACATCCCAGTAATTCCCAAACACCGGAAGTTACTGCGCTTTTCATTCAAGGGAGTTCAATACCAGTTCAATCGTCTCCCTTTCGGCTACTCGCTAGCCCCGCGCACCTTCTCCAATGTCTGGAGACCGCTCTGAAGCCATTGCGCATGGCGGGAATGAGGGTTTTATTTTACCTGGACCATTTGCTCCTATGTGCCCGGTCCAAGGACGAGGCGTCAGAGCAAACCAAGAAGTTAATAGAGCATCTGTCAACCCTAGGGTTTTCCATAAACTGGGAAAAGAGCTCCATCCTTCCATCCGTCGATTGTGTTTCTCGGGGTGGAGCTGAACGCCTCCCTAATGAGAGCACGTTTGTCTCTGGCGAGAGCGGCAAATCTCACCACGGTGATCTCCTGCGTGCAACCCTGCAAGATCATGAGAGCCCTGTTAGTCATGAAACTTCTGGGCATGATGGCTGCAGCCCACGCTGTGGTGCCGTTAGGTTTATTGCACACAAGACGCCTACAGCGTTGGTTCATCTGCCTCCGGGTACACCCGATACGTCAGAAGAGACGTATGTTGAGGGTTCTCCCTTCAGTGGGCGGGGACCTCGCTCACTGGGGGAATCCCTGCATCCTCTCACACGGGGTCCCCATCGGACATCCTACGTCACACGTATCTGTTTTACGGATGTGTCACTGTTGGGATGGGGGGGCACGTGCTTGTCCCATACGGTGGCAGATCGCTGGCCCTCCCACACGCACGAGCACATAAATGTGTTGGAGCTTATGACAGTGAGGAATGTGATCAGACACTTCGCTGCCCTTCTCGAGGGCCGTCAATTTCACACAGACAACCAGGTGGCGGCAGCCTACATAAATCGCCAAAGGGGAGTTCAATCCCTCCCACTATTGCGCGTAGCCACAGATTTACTGTGTTGGGCACATGTCCACCTGCTGTCCATCAAAGCCACCAACATTCCGGGGGTCCTGAATGTGGCAGCAGGCATCCTGTCGAGAGGGGGACCCCGCGACTCCGACTGGCATCTGCATCCCGCACTGATATCACAGATCTGGATCAAGTTCGGGGAACCCTCTGTGGATCTGTTCGCCGCTCGCGAAAACGCACAGTGTCGCCTGTGGTTTTCCCTGAGTCCCCGGGACCACCCCCCACTCGGAGTGGACACCTTCTCACACCAGTCCTGGCCTCAGACGCTCCTGTATGCGGTTCCGCTGGTCCCACGGATTCCCCGTCTCCTGGACCGAGTTCGGTCGGAACAGCTCTCGGTAATTCTGGTAGCTCCCAGACGCTTGTCCGCGTCATGGTTTCCAGACCTGCAAGCGCTAGTGTCTGGCTCCTCGTGGAGGGCGGACGCCCTTCTCCAGGCAGATGGGATAATCAAACATCCTCCAGAAATAGGCCAACGGCTGTGGGTCTGGCCGCTGAGCGGTCACGCTTAGAGGCTTCTGGGCTGCCGCATGATGTGGTCGCCACGATTCAGAGTGTGCGGGGGCCTTCTACCGTCACATCTTATGCTGCTAAATGGGCAGCTTTCCAGAAATGGTGCACAGAGCGGAATGTTCAAGCACTCTCCTGCCAGCTGGCGGATGTCCTATCGTTTCTGCAGATGCTGATGGACAGGGGCCTCGCATTCAGCACTATTAAGACATATGCTGCAGCTATCTCATCCTATCACCAGGGTTTTGGAGATAGATCTGTTTTCAATCATCCCCTCACAAAACGTTTTCTAAAAGGTGTCAGAAGGAACAGACCTGTGTCCCGCCCGCTATTTCCCCAGTGGGACATAACGGTGGTTCTGCGTGGCTTATCTGAAGCCCCATTTGAACCCTTGGACCAGGTCTCACTCAAGTTCCTGTCACTCAAAACTGCCTTGCTGCTGGCGTTGGCATCAGTCAAGAGAGTGAGCG